CAACATTCACTCCTTACTGCACGATGGAGTAACGTATAATGACCAAACCGTCATATGTGAACTATTAAGTGAATGGTTTTCTCACAATTGGAATACATCTGATGCTCCAGATATCGACATAAAGTGCACCGGCAAAAACTATCTTAGTACCATAAACTTCGACATTAGGAGTATACATACCCCCATTAAAACCCTTAAGCCAAATGCGAGTTCTGGTGCCGATGACATCCCTTCAATCGTTTATTAAATGTCAGGGCCGTACATACAGAAGCTACTACTCAAAATATACACATTATCTTTAGAGACAGGTACATATCCGGAAACCTGGAAGGTAACGTATGTTCTTCCCAAACACAAATCCGGACCGAGAAACCTGGTTGAAAACTACAGACCTATAAATATCACTCCAGTCATATCACGCATAATGGAAAAAGTGATACAAAATCAACTATCTGATCACCTACTCAAGGAAGATCTAATAGACCCGTCACAACATGGCTTCATTAGAACAAGGTCGTGCAGTACATGCCTGATAGACTTCTTTAACGAGGTTACTCGTATACGTGACCAGAAGAAACTAGTTATTATACTATACTTCGATATTAAGAAAGCCTTTGATAAGGTACATCATAATCTTCTAATCAACAGACTGAAGTCAGTTGGAATTATAAATCCCTTTTTGCAATGGATCAAGTCTTTTCTTACGAATAGATATCAAATAACCAAGATTAACTCTATTACATCTACACCTCGACCAATAACCAGTGGTGTTGTGCAAGGTAGTGTTTTGGGTCCATTGCTCTTTATAATCTACATCAACATTATATGCAAGTGTTTTAGCACAGGTAAGACCTACCTCTATGTCGATGACTTAAAAGTCATCTATAAAACTGATATTTGCGATTTACGTAGTACTATGCAAACAGTTCAACATGAACTCACCATGGTAGATGACTGGTGCAAACGCTGGAGGTTAGAGCTCAACATAGAGAAATGCGGCTGGTTATGTATAGGAGACACTTCTCTTAAAATGAAACTAACGCTTAGCAATCACACAATGCCCAGACTGGCATCAGTAACTGACCTAGGGGTACATTACTCACACAGTCTTAATATCTCTGAACATATCTCAGCCAAAGCATCCAAAATGCGAAAATTGCTTGGCTTCATTCTCCGTAATTTCTATCAAAATGAATCTAGAATCCTTCTTTACAAAGTTTGTGTAAGACCTATCGTTGAATACTGCTCGTTCTTATTTTCTAACCTACGTCTATCTGATATACTAAAGGTGGAAGGAATACAACGAGGCTTCACCCACAAAGTACTTAAGACTGACTCGGTCATTGACTACAGTTCTCGATGCCAAATCTTAGGAATAGCACCCCTTTGGGAGAGAAGGCTTAGGTCTAATTTGATTCTCTACTTCAAACTACTCAAAAATCTTACTTACTCAACATGTCAGATAATTCTTGCCCGAGATTCACATGAATACGGACTTCGAAACAAAGTATCTACGGTCAAAGTTGAGAAATACAGATCAAAAACTCGGGAAAATTTCTTCCTCACCAAGTATGCAATAATATGGAACAGTCTTCCCTCCGAGACTCGCATGGCAGATGAACTACATACGTTTGTGAAACTGCTTGATCAAGCCCTCACTCGCACTGATCTTGCACGTACGAACACATCTGCGCCCCACTCAGACATCATAGGCTCCCTCCATGTCTAGACCAAAATGGACTTCAAGTTCAGTTTGTCTTATTTTTCCTACTTTGCAGTTGTATTAATTACTTTTTCCACCCTATTTCTTCACTTGAAGTAGACAGGTAACTCACTGGACCTATCAATGCTGTTAAACTAAACTCGGTCGATAAGGGACAACCACTACCACCCTAAAAAGTCAAGAGGACCGCACAATCGGCTGCTTACAACCAGTGGTCTTGCATCTATGGAACCTGTTACCAATCAACTGGTTAAGACAACAGAAAATAACATCAGCACCAAGTTACTGTGAGTTCCTTCCTGTTTATCCTGTATTAACTTTTTACTCTCCCGTACACTATGTTGACTAGCAATTAATACTATTTCTCCACTCGTCCCCTTATCCACAACTCATATACTTCTATACTTTTTCCGCCTGCTAAATAAACAACTATCCTACAATATACCCTTCTTAACGCTTATACTCTGATTGGCAAACTATACTTTATACTATAGTCAACAGAGGCACTGCATCGATGCTTTACCCACAGTCCATAGCTTGTAACTGCCTGATAAGCTTGTAAAATGGTACTTATAGAAATAGTGCTTTCCAACATGGTGTGAAACAGAGGATTGTGTGAGGTATGACGTATATACAAAAATAAGCCTAAATGAGCCTAACATCACAAAAGGAGGGAGGGTGGAGTTACTGACCAGCAAGCATTGATGGTGAGGGCGATAACTTCAATCCACCCGTGTTTGTGGGGACAGAACATCTTGTATGTATCAGGCTCTTTATAATTGAGAATAAGACAGTCAATCTAAGATATAGATTGTCTTCCTACGCTCACCACTCAGACTCATGTTTCCAATATTATGCTGGATTAGCTATTCTACTAAGACAACCTATAATATGCTAACTCGGACTTTTACACTAGGATTGCGTGGCTGACATCGGATGGACAAAAAAAGAAAAGAAAAAAGAAAAGAAAAGATATAGTCACTAGTATTCTTAACACTTCACCCTCTATATATACACCCTTCTAATAAACCGCTTCCCTTGTACCAACCTTGACTTCCCTTCCTTCATGTGAGCTTACTCCAACTTGTTAAACATCACTACTCGTTGTTCTTTATTAGTACACTCTCTAATATGGAGCCTCTGACTTCACTTCACTCTAACAAGACATAATATGAATTTATTCTAATTTATTATACCTCTGTCCGTTCTACTACACAATGTTAAGCAACCTTTGGCGTTCATATCCAAGTGCCTTGCTGCTCCTCTGTTTCTTTTTTTTCTCCTTCAGAATCTTGCTCTGAGAGCACAGCTATGAAACTTCTGACGTTTGGAGCAAACTTGACGTACGCGTCCTCCCAAGGTCATAGTTTACAGCAAGCGCTCTACGATTTCACTTTATAACAACTATAAACTTAATAAGTTGGGAAGCATTTTGCGAACCAACAAATGTTGTAATTTATAGATCATGCCTGTAAAAACGGTGTGTACCTGCACATGCAGAAATATGTTATTATTATTAAATAAGTTAATAAAGGATACAAATTAATTACCGATATCAATGAAAAAACATCATTCTATCCTTTCTGGATAGTTCACAAATTGATTGTCCTAAATGCAGTTTATACTCAGTAAAATTATTAATAACAAAGGTATCAAGAGTTACTTGTAGCAACACTGGACGTTTCCAAATCTGGAAGTATACTTAGATTTATAATTTTAAAAAATCCACAGAGTCAATAAAAATTCAGGCAACCAACTCGAAAGAAGAAACGAATCACTGTAGTGGCCACAAAAACAAATATTTTAAGTGGATCAACATAAATGAAATCCATTAGAATGATAAAAATTGAGTAAAAACGTCAGAAAACAAAAAGTAAATAAAGAACTCAATGGAATTCACAGCAGTAGCGATCCAGAAGTATATGTTGCAAAAGTATGTACGTGGAAAGATTCACAATCACAGTCAGAAGCAATATTCTATAACGTTGATAAGACCTACAGGTTCATATGGAAAGAAAAGTATTCACTTGAGCTTCAAAAATTTTACACAACATTAGAGGGGTGGTCAGTAGACAGTTAGTTAAAACTTAACCTACCAATATGTCATAACATGGGCGTTCCCATCCTATGAGACACAAACAACCTACGTCCTTTGTGAAAATTCCCTCCCAATAATCTCCTCGGAGCACGATCTAGAAGCGTCAACTGTGGACAGCTTGAAAGCCAGATCAAACCACATTATGGATACAGTCAAGGCAAACGCAACTCTCCACTTTATACGAGGATGGATTGCCACCACTACTCTGGAACGGTTTCTAACACGTTAAAATGCACCCACGACACCTCGAAACATGCGACTTTGCTGCACTGTCTCTCTTCAAAATCGACACAAACCCCTTGGACAGAGCACAGAGACGCGAAATGGGCGAGTGATGAAACTGAGAAACAAATCTTACGAAGATAGATCCGGACACTTGAGATTATTATCTCCGAGTCATCGGAGAACAAGTGGTGACCTGATAATAACAGAAAGCATACTAAGCGCATCAAGTCACCGTAGCACAAAATTCTTACCAGAACATCACCACCAGGCTCTGAGAAATAACTCCCGTAAAATTACACATCTAAGGGCGTAGACTCATGAGCGTTCTCACTTTTTTCGGATTAAGTGTTATATGTTTTAAGAGTATCCTTCCATCTGAAGTGGCCAAAGCCTCCTCAGTAGATAGACTTGATAAACATAATCTTACTCATGGGTTGCCATCACCCTCTTCAACCACCTATGTCTGGTGCATCTGATAAAACGCCTGTTGTAATCATCGTAGGTAGTAACTATTTTCTGTCATGCTTATTACGATCGTGTCCTTTTTTATTTTAATATCCGGCTTTTCACAGTCTGCATTTTCAATTAGTTAACTTATTTATTTGTTTATTGAAGCAGTCGTCTATAATTTTAAATTTATTAATTTGCTGATTGCAACCAACCAACTTTCTATCTGATAATGTGATTACAGAGGATTTCAGAAATCCTGTTGCACTGACATAAACACACTTAGACTGCATGATATACAAACCAACAAGTCTCTACAAACTGTTAACCAAGTGGCTGGACCACCAATGGTCGGGAATCGCCAAATATCTGGAACCGTAATGAAGCAACAAGTAGCAAGTACAATGAAATCAGACTTAACAAGCTCATTTTCGACCAGTTCGACGGAAGAACTTTCATCCTCTTTGATCGTTAAATATACCGAGGTTCTTACCTGGAGACCTTGGCGATCCACTGCTACTAGATACGGAAGCCTGTTAATCAAAATATTTTTCTATTCCATCCAGAACCATTTGAAACCATTTTGAGCTCATGACGAAAATATTGGATATTGGATGCTTGTATAGGCTTCGAAATTGCTGAAGGTCGTTGGTTTCTTTAAGAGGTCCCTCATTAGTTGGGGATAATGGTTTCCAGCTAGCGTCTTTTACTATGGGAAATGCTCATGCCTTACAGAAACATCAGCTTTCAAATGTTGGGAGTGGAATGACGAGTTTCGTAGGCATGAAAGATTTTGAAAGTCGTTGGAAATCCTTCATGAATTCACTTGATTTGTCAGCCGAACATATAAAACAAATTGAATTGTTAGATGAAGAAAAGAAGGCAGAGCTACTGTCAAACTATGTACTGAAGAAGTTATTTGCATATTTTTTCCCAGGAATTAAAAAACCCTAGGTGTTCTGCTTTTCACTATGTTGCGCTTTTAAAAGCTAGTCGGATTGAATTCATTTGGGTTCGTTCAGTGCTTCCCCAACTAACTTTTGTAGAAAAAGAAAGTCGACGGTTCAGCATTTCGTTCTCTACTATCGTCAGTAGAGATTTCTCTTCGTACCAACAATGTTGAGTAATTTAGTTCAATATATTCGAATTCTAGATGGGTTTATGACTTTTTAGATCTCAAGGGCCTTGAGGCACTAGCCGATCTAATGTTACAATGTATGCATTTTCTACCAGGGTTAGTCGTCCGGTATGATGGGTTATTTCCTTCAGACAGGACACGACATTCGGCCCACGAATATTTTGTGGGAGTAAATCCTCAGACGAAACTTACCGGGATCGTTACGAAATATCTTGCTATGCAGAAGTTCCTAACTTCATCCGTAATAGTAGCATAAAGTCAACCCAGTTTTCACCAAGTAATAAGAATTAACTCGTTTTCACAATTCATGTGGTGATTTAGACAATGCATTTTTACCCAAATCCATTATTCACAGTAGCTGTTCATCAAAAGGTTCTCTACTCACTGCATCGTTCTTAGACTTTCTCGAGGATTGCTTACATCTGTCTCTCCGTTCACTTAAGGCCATATTGAATAATCAGGTTGGTTCTTCTGCTACTCATTATTATTAGTCTTTTTAGAGAGGGTGTAGAAGAGCTATGGAGCATGCACTTGTCATTAATCTAGTAACATTTTGTCTTCTGCATCCTAATTATTCGTAAGTACCACAATTAAATGTCGACTTGTAACTTAGTTTTACATATTTTCGCCCCAATGTAACGTTATATCGCGTTAGTGACGTAGGTCAAAGTATAAAATAAAATTCGGCCCACTCTCTTTAAAAGTACTAATATTTCAGGAAGCTGTATCCAGTGCGATTTGGTGTCTGTTTCCCCTCATAGGTTGAGTATGTACACTTTTCTGGCTCAAAATAGCCGAGGCAAACTTAGTGCAGTCATGCATATGTTAGCTCAGATATTCTAGGTTCTGGTTGAACGTTATTGTTGTCAGTGTAGTAGTGTATTTTGGATCATTCATTTTTACGTGAAGTTCCTTTTCATGATTTGATCATTACGATGACAGAATAATGGAACTGCATTCGCTCTGACTATGGACTAAGAAAAGTGTGATCCCTATTACGCCTCACATTAGCTCCAGATGGATGTTATCGTTTTATGATCAAGTTATAGTACCTCGATTGTGTTGTTGAAGCCGACTAGCATAACTTAAAACATCATGTGAATCCTCCGATGCTTTTTTCTACTCACTAAGTAAAAAGTGGAATTGCGCGGAGAAAAATCCGTTTAGAATTTGTATCGTAATATACACTACTATTAAACCTTACAGCCAAGTTGTGCACACTTCCATTATTGGTGTCGACTTTAAGCCTTACTTCTTATGGTTTCCAGCCTTTTATTTAACAGCCTACAAATTAGTTACACAGCTTGTGGTGATAGTTGGTGACTGTAAGAATTATTACTTATCCTGGTTTTCTGCTTTGTACTCTGACAAGCGCTGCTTGTCTTAGGGGATGACTTAGCGTAAATAACACATGTCGGGATCTCTACGGACAATATTGACGTATGATTTCATCGATTGTTTTACTTCTTATTAACACTACTCCTAACTTTGTTTGGTGCTTAGTGATTCTCACATCTAGTAGGTGTGCTGTAAATGAGGTCTTTAAAACATGTCATATTGCTTCCTACACTGCTATGCTGTGTTAAATAAAAATTTCTCTGGCGCTAATAAAGGTATGTGATCGCAAATCGTAACTGGGTCTCATTCATTAAAATCAAGATTGTTATCATCTTAATAGTCCATTTTTCGCTTAATGGATGCGAGATTTCGAGCACAATTTATTCCATATAAGTTAGCGTAGACATGGGTTCTAAAGTATTTTAAAAGTTGAAGGTGTAGTTCATTGTATTCAGAGTATCAAGGAAACAGTATTTTGGTAGATTATGATGTTTATGTATTCTGGGAATCACAAGATTTTTATGTGTTGTATGCATTTTCCATTTACACGCTTTCCAGAATACTGTTTCTGGTGAATCAGCAAAATGCTAAATATTGATCGTAGATTTTTAATCAAACGCATTTTAATTGATAGTTTGTCGTTTCGAGATTATTCATCTAGATTGCTGTAATTAGTCTATCATCCTAGGACCAATACTCGAATCTCCCTAAAATTCATTTCTGATAGTTAATTTACTACGTGATAAAGTAAATGAATTAGTAACCTCTTATCGAGTCATTTATACGCGTTCGCCTAAATTCTAATGAACTCAATAAATTGGAACCAGCTGTAACTTTATTCTTGGAAATATTTTTCTGTAGAACAAAAACGCTAGCACTAGATATGCTTACTGCATTGTGTCTGATTGAAGGTGGTCACGTGAAAGTCTTGCAATCCTTCGATAGGTTGCGCGTTGTGATGGGTGAAGGATTGAGATTTGAGCTTCTTTTAGCGGCATTCAGATACCACGAGTCGCTTGATGAAGAAAGCTACAATCTAGATTTTGCAGTGAGTTTTCCTATTTTATTTCTCATGATCTTTGAGTAATTAATTGTTAATGTATTGTCACAAAAACAGCTGGATAAGATTTACTCCTCAAGAAGCATCTATAAATGTTGAATGCATGTCTGGGTAGGTGTAGTTCAGTAGCTTCAAGACTCAAATCTTCAAGTCAACATTCCGAATCCTCTTCAACTACAGGAGGCGGTTGGGTTGACATTCTTAGGCAAACACATGTATTCTGTGTCACCACATAGTCGGAAGATTTATTTAGTTGGGACACATTAAGTTTTACATTCACATTAACTAATTTCATTATTTGAACTAATTAGTCATATTAGAATAAGTTTGGTATACTTGTAAAAGCTAGAAATTTCCTCAGAACAGAACCAACTAGTTCCTATTGGAATATTATAGATTCATCGATGATGCGACTGACTACAGTTGATAATCGGCACTAATCAGTAAAATGATCCAAGGTGTTTCTATGGATTTAAAGCTTTGATTCTAGTAATTTATGGCCCTATCAAGTATCGCGTGACAAAATTATCAGTTAGACTTCTGTGACATTGTCTTTGTGCTAAACCAATGACACGCCAACCAGTACTATCGGTCTTGAGTCAATTCTGAATCTTTATTAGTCATCAACATAGTAGCTTCTCGCCTACCATTGCCCGTTGAGTCCGGGACACAATATCCTCCTCCACTGTGTGGATAATATATTTCAGACATACGTAGTCTATATACAACCAGACCAGACAGCATCACATCATAAAGTGAAAAATAAGTTATACAAGATCAAGCCAAATGTGGCTGTGAATATAGGAGACTGTAACTAATAGCTCGGGAATAAATTAAGAATAGTAAGTCGTTTCATGTTACTTTATGGGTCAAATGAAAGCTTGTGATAAACGGAATATGAATGTATATATAACCTGGTTATTTGATAGTTATATGATAAGAATATACATATAATAATCCATAAATAATTCCCGAAGTTACCATTCATTTAATCTTTGGATACAATACTGATAATCACCAATAACTGGTGAATAACATGTAGTTACTGGCGCAGTGCATTATATTAATATGTAGAGTGATGAACACTTAGATCACAATTCAGAGAGAACACTAATACTTACTGTTAATAAAAATATCTAGTTGATGATTATTTATTGAAAACGTCTGCCTTATGTTCATATAATAACTACTGAATACTACTGGCTTTATCTTATATCTATACTTTAGAAAAATATCTTCTAATTAAGCTCTTGAAACTGTTGGTTAAAAGGAGTGGCTTTTGTGCTTTAAAAATATAACATCTTGTTGACCATAAATGAGGGTTCCCTATCATGTCCATTTCTTAAACAAATTATCATCTTAACGCATTTATTCGAAACTGTGAGATATGAGGACCGGTTAAAAACTTTCGTTACGACTTATTAACTGGATTTATTTTTATTTATTTATTTGAGCACAAACATTAGTACAAAATGGCACCAATTACATATGCGCCACATAATAACAATGAGGCCCGTAGGAGTTATCATTGTTTAGAATAAGGGCTGTGGTACTACTCGGGCGCCCAAACCAAAGCAGATGGTTTTCTTAGGGGACCACATCCGGAGCCATTCGACCTGAAAGTCTGATCCACAAGGCAGTGGGACAACGTCAGCAGATGCGGTCACGTGGTAACCAGTGGCCAACAATAGGTTCATACGCCGTTTGCTCCTTTAAAATCCTGGAGCCCATGTGCACCATTGATTTGGAATTAGGGTTTTCCGACTCCCATGGGTGGATCCTCCATATCGACCGACCCGATGAAACCACCGGACATTCGCTTTTCTTTCTCAATTTCGTAAACAACACCAGTGCCGCGAAAAGGCAGTGAGTAAGACTTTCTTGTTAATGGTTAAATACGCGTGGCCATGTAAGAGTATTTCGAGAGGGAAAGCAGACTCTCTTTGCCCTCGATCGTACCAGGGCATTTGGGGGCCCTGAATAGTTCATACGGGTTTATGGTTTATTTGGAATTTTTTCCCAGGACAGTATGTAGCTTTTGAATGTTTCATTGGCTTTCTCATGTTGACTGTTAAAACTTTAATACTTTGGAAGTATGAATTCATGAGCTTATATTTTAAATATTCAATTTTTGAAGGTAACATGCGTGCAATTTCTCAATATTATTGTTCATTCACCAGAGAATATAAATTTACGAGTATATTTACAATATGAACTCCACTTACTTGGATTTGATGATTTGTTAAAAGTAAGTTATATGTTTACTCAACAAATAAATTCTCTCCATTACATTTCCCATAATAAAGAAGATTTTAACTTAGTTTTAAGACTTGGTTCTATAACATTTAAAAAACCGTTCTCACATACATTATTAAAAGTTAATAATCAGTCACTTGCGTGACTTACAACAAATTCATACTATGTTAAGTCCCTCTTCTAGTGAATATTTCAAAGACCCTAATAATATTCACTCAACCTTTGGTAATAGTGACTATAGTAATATTCATGGGGCTTAATTTCTATAAGTGATGAATTAATAGATCTACTATTTATACTACAGTGTCCTCTCATAAAGGTTAATAAATCCAATATTCCCACAAATATAGTTGATTGGCGTCCCTCAACTTACAGTATTGATGGTGTTTGTGTCTAATAATAATAATAATAATAATAATAATAATAATAATAATTATTATTATTATTATTATTATTATTATTATTATTATTATTATATAAAAGAATTGTATTCTGAATGCAAGTAATGAACAATGTAATTAATTTCATATAAAGTATTATATAATACTTTACCTCAATGTTATTAAATCTATAACATTTTGGTCATTTTTCGTAATTTATTCACCTTTTTTTATAGCAAATTCGTGATCGTTCTGGGTCACGATTAAAAGTTCAAATTGAAGCCTATTTAGATAATCGTGTAGATTGTTCATTACTACTGGAAGATGCTGAAGCTAAGGAGGCAGCTGTTCTGGAACAAGAACGTTTGGAAAAGCGATTGGAATCAGAAATGGCTATAGCTAGAATATCTGAAGAGAATTTTAAGGTATGATTGTTTCTCGTTTATTCTTCCTAAGTTATTGGTCTTGTTTTATGTGATCAATTAAAATGTCCGTTTAAAACGTCACATATTTACCTCGATCCCGATAAATCTGACTGAACGCTTGAATCGGTTTCCTTAGCTCTTCTAATAACCCCAGGCCAAATCTATACGACAACTTGAACACAGGAGAAAAGGAGCAAAATATGGAAAGAACGTTTTACTACAAGGTTCTGGAACGCTACTAAACATAGTAGCAGAACAGGCAATCATCCATTCCGAAGTGTGACACGTGACTCTTTACTTTCTAGATGATTCTAAGAAACTTCTATTCAGTGCTGATTGGACAAGGATTTTCCTAACGTTTTCAGGGCCGCTGTGGACTTTTTTTGAGGAATATTCTGTCTCTTCCCAACAGATCTATTGTTGTATTTGAGCATCGTGTTTGACTTTTGCGTATTTTTAAAGTTAATTCCACAAACTTGATACAATAAGTGGTATGACAAGTGTATCATAAAAAACACTACATATTCACCACATATGCTCAATCTATGTTAAGGTGCTTGAAAGAAAGTATCACAAGCCTTGTATTTCGCTTTGTACTAGTTGATGCTCATCAATAAAGGGGATCTGCCTGCTGCTATGCTAGGTAATATGAAGGTCAGAGAAAAGTTGGTAGGGATCGTGTTACAGTCCATAAACTTACTAACTGTCAAACTTTAATCTTGTTAAGAGATGCGGTCATCCTGGCTGATTTCTCTGTGATCCTTTGGTGCACAGTTTAGGTATTATGGGTTTAAACCAGCCAAAAACATGCAAAAATACCTATTTCTTATCTTCCTCCAGGTTTTAAGTTTTAATTTTGTTTTATAATTCATTACATGATTTCACTCACTTATATTTAGCTAATATTCCAAATTATGACGTACTTTCACCGACATTAATATTATCATTTAAACTCATTTGGTTTTCGTTTGGCTAATTTCCTGTCCTCATTTAATTGAATTGAAATTAACTTGAGCTAATTAGTACTTTCGCCAAGTTTCATATTGTCTATTACTAACCGAAGAAATTGTTGCTTCATTTGATATCTATTGGAATGCTATCTTATGACCGTACGAGCACTCCATGTACCTAAATAGTTGCTCTGGTTGTCAGAAGGGTCATCAGCCTCGTGAATTCCGAAGGAACTTGGCTTTCATCATGAGGCGTCATAACTCTTCTAAATGAAGACATTCTGACTCCCAGGGCAGGGTTTAAATGGTTTGAATAATTTTTTTCCGGTTAGCGTTTTATAGCGAATTAGTTTTCTACGAGATGGGTTCGCTAACCCCATGCCAAACCCTCCTCCTTTATTCGGGCCTAGGACTGGCAGTAGCCCCAGAGGGGCTTCAGTTGGAGTTATATTATGGCTGAGCTCAAACTATATTTTATTAAAGATGTCTTCTCCGCGGTCTTGTTTCTGACAGGATAGAATGACAAAGTGGATATTCTTCTACTGTAACCAAGTTAAAAACATAGATTCATCTAGAAAAGTAGCAAACTCTAATTTTCAGTTGTTAAGTGTACATAAAGTTTAATATTCTTCAGGTACAAATAAAATATCACTGTTTTCTGTTTAGCTGATTGTCATGAACAACTAACCCTTAACATTATCTTACTGTCTAGGGAATTAGAATTTTTACATTAATAACTTACATAACAGGTTTCTTAATCTGAATACCTGTAAAAGCTGACTTTATTGAAGTCTTCACATAAATCTGCTTCTTTAACACAATAGATGCAAAACTTGTTGTGATTATTAAGATAATGTAAACATTTCTTCTTTTGTTAAGTGATATCGTTTGGATTAAGCAATTGTAAAATTTCATGACACTTGAATGCCACTATATACATATATGTTATAAGTTAACCAAAATAATGTAATTGCCTAAAATTGACTTGATGATATATTAGGGTAGATAATATCTTAGTACTGTGTGAAGACAAACTACTTCACTGATTCTTAATTGAATACAATGATTAATGTACTTAATTTGTAACTCTAAAAACAAGATTTATGGAGTCTCATTTTGGGTGTAAATACGTACAAGAACAATTTATAATTTGTTTGTTCCCGTATAATTTAACATAATATTATACACCTATAATTGTGTGAACCATATCGGTAGTGTTTTCATGGACAGGTTTTAAGCTTCAAGGCAAAATTTACATTTATTAGTGATTGATTGTGTGCACATACTTGTATTAGCCTTCATATGCCAATTACAATTGTTAAGCCATAATTGTAAATATTTGGCTTTGTCCATCATACAGTTGTTGTCTCTGATTTAATGTCCTCATAGTATAGTTTTTTATTTCGGCAAAGTAACATAATCTCTATACTTTCATTAAGTATCTCATGTACATTGATTAGTTCTAATGATTATTTTTCTGTGTGCCATACCACTGGGTTTTTTTGTTAATTAGCTTTAATTTCGTTGGTTCTAATTATTCTCTTTTGTAGTTGATAGGTTATAATTTTGATAGGTTCTGAATTTAAGTTCTATTGGGACAATACAGCTACTCAATTAGATAGATATAACGAAATTCAGACTTGATTGGAAAAACGTTTATCTTAAATCTCAATGTTAACAACAGATAATTAGTATTAAGTTATTAATAAAAATAGAAAACCGATCATGAAATATCTATTCAATCTTCGTACACGCCTACACGGTACTGATTTGTTTATACGATTCTCATCAACAATAAAAAAGTCAATTTGTTTTACTTATCATGGTCAGAGATCTGACTACAAAATCATCGGACGATGATGATCGTATGATGGCAATAACGAAACAAATATCCCAACTTCCCCTGTGTAAATTTATCGACTTAATTCTCGTTAGTGAATAACGAAATAAGTCAAATACGAGATTTTATTTTGGATGCATTTATTTCATACACCCGTTACCACAGACGGATAATAACAGAAATGAAGCAATGAAGACAAGCGTGCCAACTCGATTTGATAAAGCGTGACCCACTGTTTATAATCAGGCAGGAAAATAGGTTAAAGACATGTAATGAATAGAGTGTATGATACGCACACATACGCTCATATAGAAATAGTCAAGCTTATAAGGGTATAACTGACAAGTTCAAAATAGGTGTGGACACCGACTCAGAAGGAATAAATTAGTTGCTGTGTCCAAAAGCTAGAATCAGCGACGTAGGTGTGACACAGAACTGTATACTACACGCCCCCTAACGATCAGTTCGTGAGTTTTACCGCATAAATTAATATCATGTAAATCAAATCATTGGCAACAAGTGAAAACTGAACAGTTATCAGTTTGTAATTTAGATCCTTTCAGTATTGTAAGTTTACAGAATTAAACCCATTACCTAAGCAAACAATATTTATTCCCTCGTTAATGACTGGTTTCAAAATGAATTCTTGAAGAATTTTCATGATAAATCGCGATTAATTGATTGCTATCTTGTTGCAAAGGAATTAAATATCACCGATAAGATTTGGATGATGATCTAATATTGCTAATCGACTAAAGTTGGAAACTAAATTAAAATAATCTTTGTGAATCGTTCGTAATTTCGATTAACGATCACAAATAACCTTATCGATACTGATGAATATTGTATATTAAATACATGGAGAGAGATATTTATCTACCCATTAATGTGTGTTTCGATATGGTAGAGTATATGATATATGATATGACTTAATTAAGGACAATATTTTTACATGTTTTTAAATAATTTATCTTATTTTTTTAAAATCACTATTCACGATAAACAAAGCGTTGTTTAATTTAATAAATGTACGAAGATTATAGAGAATTGGATGTGAATATATGTTTTCTGATAGGTTTACAGTGTTGTTTAGTGTAGATGATATTAATGAAATTCCAGGGCAAAGTCTAAATGAGAAAAAGGCCATCTAGGACACGTAGGTTACAAGTAATGGATTAGTGTTCATAGAATCTGACTTCCAATCTACCGCATATGTTATGGCCTACCAAAGATTCACAAACATGATGTCCCACTCAGGCTTATTTTGTCAACGATTAATTCATATAACCACAAAGTTGCACGCTGGCCAGCAGAAAAGTTAGATTCCCTTCATAACTGCTTAGCTACTTGTACGCTAAAAAACTTTCTACTTTGCTGAGTTTCAATCACATGAATGTTGGCGGTAAGTCAGTGGTTTATTTTGACTTAACATTCCTGTTTAACAAATACTGTGTTTTGAAACAGACACAATTTGAAAGCATTCTGACCCCCTACCTCTACCAGTATCAGAACTCAAACGACTGCTAATTGTATATACCAAAGATGTTCAGTTTCAGCTAAATAACATCATATACCATTAAACTTATGGTTTAACAATGAGAAGCCCACTTAGTTCCTGCCCTGGCAGATATATTCATGGCTAATCTCGAAAAGATCAAGATTGAAGGGATGAATGACAAAATTGGTGTATTATGCGAGGTATTTTGACGATACTTGCTGCATGTAAGGATCAACAACCAGCAAACCACCTGCTAAACCTTTCAACGGCGCCCATAAAAACATTCAGTTTACTATGGAACATGAAAAGGATGATAAGTTTCACTTCCTCAATATCGTCATACAACTCAGGGAGGATGGTGGTACGATTCAACATTCAGTTTACGGAAAAGATAGATGGAATTGTGTTTATCAGAATTTTAATAGTTTTTTTCCAGTTATTTGCAAATAGGCACTTATCAAAATTCCATTTCACAGGACTGAAATATGTACTACCAATAGACTAGAGGCAAGTTTAATTAACTATAAAAAATGACTGCGGAACAACGAGTATCCGGAGAAATTTGTTGAGAAATATGGGAAAAGTAAAAAAATCGCTTAAACGTGCTACATTGGATAGGAAACCTATTATCATTCAACTTGGATTCAGAGTTAACGAAAATAAACAGTACAACATGTAAAAAAGTTCAAGTTATCAAAATCTCCCAAGATGGTAGCGCCTTTTAATCTTTATCACCATTATCAACACATGGTGACAGACACCTGCCTTACATAATGTTCCTTCTGGGTGCTAGCTTTTCTTTTATCCCAATGATGGTTAAACGTAGATAGTCGATGAACCTTTTTTCAGTCGGATAGTGTAGGATTCACAGGGCGAAACTGATCATAAGGAGTGAATTAATGAAGCGCATCGAAACTTCATTTACCCTGGAAGTATCACCAGTCGTTTTGGATTGACATTTAATGAAGTCTCAGCACACATTCAGTAGCTAGCCTAACTTTTGTTAACTTGCATCATTTGTCGCATATAGGGAGATGTCCATCGACGAACGAAGGGGAAATACAGTGCGCATAAATTTCGTCTGTTTTATTCTGTAGGTGTAAAATGTGGTCTATAAAAGAAGACATACTTTAGCTCCAAATATTTCATCATAGATGTCTCGGAAACATTGTTCGCGTTTAGTAGATTGACCAAGTAAACAATGGTGAGGTTAGGGGGACGGTGTTCTGGTAAAGGTGAACAATTGATTGATAAGACTGTGAATCTTCACTGATTAAAGTATCATAGAAATGTATTAAGTATGTTCAACTACCCCCTACTCCGACAGGAATTGTTAACATGAGTACGAATAATTTGAAAGAAACAGTTAGTAGGCTATACCAAAGCATTCCACTAGTCTATCATTTCACTGACATTTAGTGTTAATCATGTTCGTAGATTGGTGGGTTGTGATCCATATGATACCCGTGACCAACGATCACAGATGCTGATATAACTTAGTATCAACCACCATAAAACAGTTCCATTCAATCTCTGTTTTTGCTTTGGCCTTGTTTTTTTAAAAGGTATTTTATACTTTTTATTATCATAATCAATGCTTATATTAGATGATATAGTGCCAAATGACTGACTGATTCTTCCATCTTATCATTTCTTGTTTTTTACCAACATCCTTGATCATTAGATTTCTGTTAATTCTTAGTATTATTTCTTCTCTTACTCTTATGATCTCGTCATTTTACTCTCTCATTGTATTGATTGATGTGAGTTGTGATAACTGGGATTGATATATATTTATACCTAAACCTCTGTGCTAATTATTACGAAAAAAGATGGATTAAATATGTATACATTACTCCTCATCTCTAGAGCTCTAGTAATACGTATATGATAACCATGCTCTCTGGATTTCTTTTCATCTAACAGTGAAAAATCATATTTAGTTATCAATTCTACATGTTTTTGAGTAAAATAGCAGGAAAAATGCTGTTTTGTTGTTGTTGACCCAAGCACTCTTTCCACTGCTGTATGTTCATGGTTTTTTATACATTTAAATCATATTCTGTGAGAAACTTTGCTCTAGAAACGGGTCACACTGCTCTCACTTTTCCAAAGGAATCGTTAGAATAAAATATGTATAATATTGGTGAAACAGTTCCTGATTCGACTCGTTCATGCAGCTCTGATTTACGATTCCGGTCTGCGTAACTTTAACACTTTTCATGTGTTTGACCAAATGTTGTGGAATCTACCCATCATTTAGTGTATGAAAAAAAGATGGTTTTCGTTATCCAGTAATAAAAATAAATCTCTGTCATTGGTATGAAAAATCCCAGGTACTGAATAAAAATCACCTGTACATAATTTATTTTCCCAATTTTCCAATCAAAAAGCAATGTCGATTCTTATTGATTATATATATATAATGTACAACCACCGAGTGGTTGCATTGTGTACTGATCATATAATGATACTCAGTTTTTGGAGAAAAACTAATGTGATTGTTCGAAAAATTAAACAGTTGCTACATTGCATAATATACAAAGGAATTAATAAAATATTTTGATGAAAAATCAGTATTGTATTAATTATGTAAGAATAAAGAGACGGTTGTTAAGACTATGTAAACATACAAAAGCGAAAGAAATTAGAAAATTGTTTGAACATTTTCTAAACAAAGGGGGTAAAACTCACTCCTATGTAGATGGTCAATTTAAGAGGAATGGTTGTAAAATCTTCTTTTGGATTCAAAGGTTAGGTTTGTGAATATGCAGAAGACGAATCTGTAAACCATACAGTAAATTTGATGGGATATTTTTCATAACCTCAAAACATGTATTCAAGTCAACTCAGTTTTCCATGTCCACTAAATGAGCGAGAAAAGAGCACTTGATCAATCTTACCTGTCCTTCGCTCAACCAAGATGGATGGTGTTCCGCTATGTGATAACAGACTTGCCGAATTGTACGCCTTATATAATTCTTTCCCCAAGAGCAGTTGAATTGATAAATATACATGAATGTGGCGAATTCAGGCAGACCGTCTTGATTGGTGGTTTTCACAATCGGGCTATCGTAGAAAATTCCATTCAGTTCGGCTGCAGCAAATGTTTTCATTAGTTTATTTTAACTCAGTAAAATCCGAAATCTTAAATGCTAATAACTTTCTGTTGTTGAATTTTTCATTTTGAGATTGTGATCCTGTCTGATATTGTTTCACTCTTATCATGGAGAGTCATCGGTCTTCTAAGGCAACAGATCTTGCGAAACTGAGGGTCACGGTTTCCTGTAGACTCCATCTAATTACTTACTTACGGTTGTTAGCCCTCGTGGAAGAGCCCTCTCGTCAGTATTCTTCATCGATCTCTTTCCTGGGCAATCTTTTCCAGTTCTTTCTGGTTGCTATTCATCCTTTTGATGTATGCTTCCGATTCTCGACCCAGTGTGTTCTTTGTCTTCATCTTTCCGGTTACCCTTCAGGATTCCAAGTTAGCGCTTGCTTCATGATACAGTTTCCTCAGTGTATTTCATATCCAATTGCAGCATCTTTTCTTAATTTCCTCTTCAGTTCAAAGCTACTTTATTCTCTCCCACAGTACGTAGTTGCTGATGTTATCCGACCAACGGATGTATCTTGCTTGAACAATTGTTTGTAAATACTTGTACTTTTTTGCTGATGGTTGCAGTAGTTCTCGAAGTTTCAGCTCCGTACAGTAGGACTGTCTTGACGTTCGTATTAAAGATTCTGAATGCCTCCAACCGAATAACATTTGATTTAACGTTGATCATTGGTCAAAGTCTGTCTAGAAGTTCATCATGTGAACAAGTATTTTGACCATGCGGTTTGATGATAAAATCGAATGGATAATATTCGGGAGCTAGAAAGTTAATGCACATAAGGCATATGAATCTATTTTATTGTGAGTAACCATAGTTGTGTAACGAATTTAGATTGATGTCGAACATAATGTAGACAAATAGAAAAGCCTCATATTTGACTTGTTTCAATAGAAACCCGTTACTTATTTTTAGCATTGACAGTTCATCTGACCTACATTCTTTTAAAATCTTTAGCTCAAAGAAACTGAACTTCTTCGTGTTGCTGAATCACTACGTATAAAAAACCGAGAATTCGAAATAGCTGCTGCTGATCGTGAATCTGCATTGTACAAACAAATCAATGAATTATCTCGTAATATTCAGTTAGCTCAACGAGAAATATCTGATTTGAAACAAAATTTACATCTTGCGCAAACGTGTATAACGAAGTCATTCACTACAATGTCCACTTCAACACATTTTGAAAATTCAAAGAGGAATTCATCAATAACAAACAATAGCATTGATCAAAATTCCTCATCTGATCCACCCACATTAGTAACACGAGCTGTGTCTATCGAAGATACTTTTTCTTCTTCGCACCATTGTAACGGTAATAATGGGCAAAAACATCATTATCATCCTAGTCCTTCTGGTTCCGAAGCCTCATTAAGCAATAACACTAGTGACATCAATTGCAATAAACAAGGCTCTTCAAGTGTTTATACCGATGCGAATTCATCATTGATTTATCGGTCTAAATTGGATGTTCAGTATAATACTGAAGAGCAACAACAGGCACCCGTAAAACCCCAAAGAAAAGTAACAGATCAAAAAGTAAATAATCTATGTAAGTGATATTTAATTATATACTACTAGTTAACAATAGGATGTCTAAACTATTGAGTATTTTTAAAATTGATCAGAAACCTTCATGTCCTGGGTCATTAAGTTAGAATCTAGTGGGTATACAACGAAGCAGTTCGCTCCTTTATAGACACGACTTTTCAACGATGATTTTGAAAACTTCCACTTCAACACACGGATTGCAAATAATTCTTTTTTAGTGTCATTCGACAGTCGTGAGAAAAATACACCAAAATAATGCGGCAGGTATACACACAACCAACACTTTTTTCTAACTTTCTTACACCATAAAATGTTTATTTCAATTTTATTAATTGTGAAGGCGGAAAACTTATCAATGTTAGTTTTTTCGATCTATGAGGATTCGTACGTATGATAAGAATATATCTGTATACCACTAGTCAAATGCGAGAATTTTCTTAACCATTTATTTTCGATTTAATAGTTCCAGCTGCATTTTTAAAATTCTTTCCACTGATACCGAGAAAAATTTATATGTTAAGTGTTGGGGACGTTAGATCCCCAGAAAAGGACTCAATTTTGTAATTTTATTTTAGAAAATTTGAACTTCTTTGTTTTCGCACCAAAAGCGCTCTTGTCACCTTCATGTCGTATTTCCCATTTGGGAAATATCTTAAATGCTATTGGTCCGTTGTGTCTTTTAGTATGCTATTTCGTAACACTCCCTAAGGACGGTTTTATGTTTCTTGTTATCGCTCGTTTCTAGCTGTTTGCAGAATATACCTCCCCATCCCAAGCTTGGACTTCTTTCTCTAGATAGCGGAGCTGGGACGCATCAGAATATCTAGCTTATTGGTCTTTGTTATCGTTCGCGTATTAAGTGGACTCGTGATAACTTCAAACCTAGCAGTAAATTGGACTATTTCAAAATCTTCATCTTGATTATAAAAATTCAACGTCCCCGAATATACTCATTACCTTTAAGAAACAACTCACCGCTATCGCATACCTCAATATAGTTGACAGAATAACGTCGCCTTTGAATCCAATCTTTATCGGTTTTTACCATACTAATTTCTTCAGTATGCCTTTATAGTTCAGTTAAAACCCATTCAACAGCTATCTTAGTGTATATTACTGGAATAAATTATTAAGTTAGGGGGATTAGAAACCATTTCAAGGTGGTTGACAAACATCATCAGAATGTCTTATAGTGCATTTTATATCCTTTTTTCCGTCTTCTTCATATTTGTTTGTTTGTTTTAGTTAAATCCTGTGCCCTACAAAATTTTACTACATGCAAACAGTTAGCTAACCAAGCAGCTAATTATTTAGCCGAACTAGTCAAATTAGTTTCTAGTTTATCAGCAGCAGAACTGTTCAGTGCTGAAAATGATTCATCCAATGATCGTTTAATTATGGTTTATCCAATTGGTTGGGAATTTTCATATTCTTCTTCGTGTCCTTCTCCTCTTTCTTCTCACAATGATGATAGTGTGATCACACAGTTACCAGCAACATCACTGGATACTATATTCAATGATCGAGTATTCAGGACATGTTATTTAGCGAATATATCTATGAAAGCTGAAGGAATCTGTACTAACTCGGAAGATTTCTTTCATATTTATTCTAATCAACTACCAGATTTATGGTTTAATGCATATAAAAAATTACCACAGAATTCATTAAACAAACAACAAACTTTAACATCAATTAATTCATTGCATAAGACTGATGATTCAGTCGATACAAGGTGAGAATAACCTTTCTATTCAAAGTAAAAGTTGTTTTTGGAATTGCCTAACATTTCCATTCAAATAGTGGATATCTATTATAAAAAAACACTGATAAACATTGTTTATCGTAACGTGATTAACAGTTATTTCATTTTATCATGCAGAGTATTTTAACTGACATACATCCATGATTTTATTTTACCTGAATTATATTTGGATCTAGATAGAACTTGTGCAGAAAAAATTATTGAAATCTGAAAATTAAAGTTTTACTGAACGATTTCTTAGTGGAGGTTGAAACTCCTCTTGTACACATACTTTGTTTTAGAATACCATGTAGTATTACCAACTTTCAAATTAATTGTGTCTCAAATCTGAGTACATGAAGTCTTCATATGATCAATATTTTTAGTTATTTATGATAACTTCTTAAAAGTTCGTAAACATCACTATTAAAATTGGAATTTAGTGGTGGTATGGATTTGCTGTATGGGGAATGACTTCTCGACCTTCAGTATGCGGATGATATTGTCTTACTGGGTGATGATACCAAAGACATGCAATCTGCACTCATTCAGTTGGCAATTAGTGTCCGTAGGTTCGGTATGTGTTTTGCACCTTCTAAGTTCACGAAGTGTATGGAGACAATTTTGGCACCTGAGAACTGATAGAAAGACTTTACGACTAAAGATAAGCGGCAGATACTAACTATTGAAAAAGTCATTTATACAACATAATTCTCCGAATAATTTCAACTTAAATGTATGTTAATGAGAAATTTATTGCGATGTTGGACAACCGATGTTGATTGTTATTGAAATTGGCATGTAAGCGTACAATTTTTTCTAGGTAATGTAATTCTCAGGATCATTGTTATGACAATATAATATTGGTCAGATAGTTATTTTAAAACTGAGAGCAAAAGCAAATTGTTTGCGATTCCTCAATCGTGTTCATTCATAATATTTTACGGAATCGATATTATACCTTTGTTAGTATTACTAGTATTGTAGGTAACACTAACTGAGGTGTTCGTTTTCTTCGGCTATTCTTTGATGCGTAAACTTATTCTGTTTTTAAAGTATTAACACCGATCGATACGTGATTACTTAATTTTATTAGTTAATTATGATATTGTTGTTGTCCTCGCCGTTAAACAACTTCATTTCTTAATAATTTTACATGTCATGTTCTTCATGAATTCTTCTTTTTCCTTAGACATTCAAAGGTTTTTGATGATCTTCATAGAGTCGGACTTTTAGAAACCTCCTCTAATAATCGGTCACTGGAAAATATTGAAGCAGTCAACATCGTTTATAATGAATATGATAGGGAGATCAAATATAATTTTTCTAGATCAAAACTAACTGAATATTTATTACATTTGAAATTGAATCCTATTATTACACAACGTTTATTAAATGAAATTCATTGTTTAGCAGAGAATCTTAGAAGTAATAATAATAATAGTTTTATGATAATGAATTCATCAACTATTGAATTGTTCGAACAACTGGAAAACGTATTTCAAAAGTATTTTAGTCAATTCAATATCGACGAGTTATTCCTTTGTATTACTGGTACTGATAAAAATCAACAACGTTGGCCTTGTCTACTCACTTTACTGCATGGTAATCTTATTAAATTTACTCTGATTGAAGAATTGAAACTTATTAACGAGGTGAGATTTTATCTGAAGAAAAATGAGTGCATCGTTTTTTATGAATGTAACTGTATGTATGGATCTTTTGAAAAATGCTTTTAAATTCCTCTGGAAATTCAACTTAATCTAGCTAATAGACGGTTTTTTGCATTCTCATTTCGGATTTATTTGAGCGCATTCGAAAGCACGTGAAATCAACCTCCTTATTAATTAATCATCAAAGATAGTCGACTTTCTCCTGTTTATTTACTAGTATCATAATTAGGCGGAGAAATGAATAGATTTTCTGGATTTTATTCGTTTTCTTTGATGTTAAGTGCTGCTGGTTAGGAATAACCAGTTATAGCACCAATTTGTTTTGTAGATTTTGAAGTGAACTACTTGTGACATCGTCCGCAACAGAACGATTTTCATTCACAAATCAGATAAAAATAATGTACAAAGTGTGATTGAAGTCCCTAGAAAATGGATCTCTGAAGCTTTCTGTTATAAAACAAAATACTTTATTTTCTATTGGTTCTTTTAGGAAAACGATTGTTCAGTCTGAATATTTTGATGACTGACACCGCAACAACAATTAACTGGTCATTTATGTGAATCTTATATTCCTCATTAACATACATTTCAATTTATATCCAATTGAAACCTTTATCGGTTAGAATAAATACTTATTCTGTCTGATTAGACAATCTAATTTGTAAATAAGAACTTTCGTCTAAATTTGAACGAATAGTTTCACAATATTTGGGCGCCGAGTTAATGTGAGTCATTAAAGAGGAATAATATATATTTGTAAAACCTCAGCCAAAGAATTTGAAGTAATTCCAACGTTTCGCCTGGAAATCTGGTCCAAGCTTTTTCAAGGAAAATATAATCAAACATCAAAATTATTGAATATCAGTATACAGTAAACCGAAGAACCATGTACCTATTTATATTTCCTTGAAAAAGCTTGGACCAGATTTCCAGGCGAAACGTTGGAATTACTTCAAATTCTTTGGCTGAGATTTTACAGATGTATACTATTCCTCTTTAATGAATCTAATTTGTGTTTGAATATTGAAACTAAACAAAAGTATTGTCGTTGGGTTCATACAGTCGTATGAATCCTATGGTGATATCCTGTCTTTCTTTATTGAGATAATATTTGATAAGTTTGTTCAGGTTAGAAATAATTTTCATCACGAATTCAAATTATCTGGAAGAGTTATTAAAAGTCAAATGAACACTACAACTTTTGCCTTGTCTTAGATATATACTCCTTTTCTTAAAATGTTTACTGTTCGTTTGTTTGTTTGTTATTCCTCCCCACAGAATATATCATTAGTTCTTGAATGCTGTACAAGTATACTAGCCAGTACTAAATTACCATTAATTATACAATTAGTTTGGAGATGTACAAATGTGTTATTGAATGATCACAAATCAACTGGTTTTCAATTGAAAAGTTTAGATTCTGTAAGTTTTGTTTCGCCGTTGTCATGTTAACATTCGTAAAAATATGCATTGGAAACAATCTCATTGTTTACTATGTTTTAATTGAAAAAGTGGCTATTAACTGCCGCTACACTGGCAGTTTTTTTCCTGCTTTTGTTACTTTGTATGCTCTAGGAGGGCTATGTGATCTGCATAGTCTATTTCATCCAACTATGTACTAAGTGCTCATTCTATTCTGTGCGTCTTCTGAGATGTAGAATTCTTCATAGTCCAGTCAACACCTAACAAGAAGAGAAAAAGCGAGAGTAGACAGCCTTGTCTAACTTCAGTCTTAAATTTGAAGCACCTGTGAGTTACCCTGTATACGTGGGTTTGCAATGCAGATTTTCTTCGTAGTTCCGTATAATGGTGACGTCTTCTTAGGTACTGTATATCGTCATAGATTTCACAAGGTTTCACTATTCATTCCGTTGAATGCTTTCTCATAATCAAGGTATTCGATGCATATCAGCGAGTTCCATTCTAGTGATTGTTCAACAATGATCCGCAATATCGTGATTCGGCAGAATAAGGCGAACCCCGATATGAAATATATTTCAAAGTAATGTGTTTATGTGAAAATTATATTGGATACGTGTATCATGTTCTAGAACCGTCCGCTATCACTGATTGGATTCCAAAGAAAATTATCAGCACTTCCGTATCATTTGCATACAGAACATTTAACTTGAATCATGCCTCAAAGATGTTTGCCTAATCAGGTATATCTGTTCTAATATCTAATGAACAGGGTAGGCTCAATAAACATACTTTTAATCGAGTTTAAAACTCACGTCATTCTTTCTGGGTGTATTGATTGGTATAATTCATTCGTATTAGATTACCATCAATCTTAGAATTTTGGGTACAGTTACGTCAATTTTTAGTTTCTTAATTGTCTTCAACGCTTTTGATTTCAAGTATTCTGTATGATGATGAGTTATTTCTAAGTGTAACGGTGTCCTTTTATATTTAATATTTTTACCTATGTATTTTGAAAGCAATTTAACCCGTGATACATGATTGTTGAAAATGTCGTGGAAATTTCACTTTTATTTCTTTACTTATAACAGCAATGTGTGTAAAGTAATTAAACCTATTAAGTTATCCATATTTATGTCGTGTAATATGCGTTTATGGAGTTCCAATTAGCGTAAATCATCTTCCAAACGTATGTTTTTTTCGTACTTGACTTCTGATCACACTTTTGGTGTAAGGTTACGACACTATCCGGCTTAACAAAGTAAAGTAGATGTAGTGGAGTTAGAACCCGCAAAATGTTAGCTAGAAATTAATTCTTTAATCCTCCTTTTATAACTTGTGACCGCTAATTATGGAGCAGTGACTTATCGATCGGATCAATGACGCGTAAACACGTGCGAGCAGTCTAGAGCCCTGGTTGACCCTGCTTCTCGCCTAGCCCAGCCAGATAAGTCCAGAACACAAGTCTCAACCTCTGCGATATGAATCATTATATTTCAAACATACTCTGTTTATATACCAATCAAACAGACCACATCGTACCATAAAGTAGGAAATAACATTTGCACAAGATTTGGCCAACAGGAAAATGACACGTGAAATAAATATTGACCAGTAGGGAAACGACACGTGAAATAAAAATTGACCAATGGGAAAATGATGCTATTTCAAGTTTAAGGATAGCATTAGACTTAACAAGATAATTTTTGGGATAATTTTCTGAATATCCCAACACCTCCAAGCCACTGAAATTCTAACAACTCATTGACCTTTTATTAATGGTGCTACTCATAATATGAAGTTTGTGTTAAATGAATGGTTTTAAAATATTAGTTATTATTTTGAATCCTCTGTTCGACAAACAAATGAAATCGAGATAGCAAGTTTTCTTTAATCGTCTACTCTAGGGTGATAAAAAAGTGTTCATTTCAATCTGATCCGTTGATACTTTGTGCTTATAATTTCGCTACTCCAATTTCAATACTATGAACGAAAATACTTATCTTCTCTTCTTTTTGTTACCTAACTGACTAGAGTAAAAACAGCAGTTTAGTAAATTAAACTTTTTGATATTGATACAAATAAATTTTTTATCAATTCTATATCAATGAAAAATGATTAGAATATTTAGAATGAGTATTTGTTATTTAAACAAATGATTGCAGGAATATCTTGAAATTACATAAACACTGTTTACAATGAACAATTTACTGTGGCAGAATTTCAACCTAACTGATATTGACTGTGATCTAAAGTAGCGAATCCCCAACACAACCATGTAGATCAGCGTTGAAGTTAATGAAAGGAAACCATTACAGTAAAAAAAACAAGGCTTTGTGAATTTCCTGTGTTTATCGAAAGTTAAATATAATATATATCATCAGAATGGCTCTTCTCGCCGTCTCACCTTTGTGAATACATTATTACTACAAGACCGGAAGGCCCCGGCTTCAATCTTCTATGCAGTCGCTTAATTGATTGACAAGACTTATGATTCAGTTAGATGCTTTTACTGATGATTTAGTCGAAGATGTCACTTCATTCATACATAAACATGGACTAACAGTTCAGCGATATGATATATTATTTACTTACATCAATGTAGACAAATGACAATAGACACACATCTCATTCGGAAAACGTCAAAGTTTTGGTTCACGGAAATCCTAAAGTACCAGAAAATTTCCATAAACATGGCATCTAGATCGCCCTTAAATGTCCTGGTACGGTCGAGGGCGAGGAGAGTTTGCTTTCCCTCTCGAAAAACTCACAAGGCCACGCGTATACAACTACTAACAAGGAAGTCTTACTCACTACCTTCTCGCGGCACTGGTGTTGTTTACGAAATTGAGAGGACGAAAAGCGAATGTCCGGCGCTTTAACGAGGTTGATGGATATGGAGGGTCCACCTAGGGGGTTCGGGAAATCCAGATTCCAAGTCAACGGTGCACATGAACTCCAGGATTCTGAAGGAAAAATGGCGTATGAACCAATCGTTGGTCACCGGCTACCACGGGACTGCATCTCCTGACGTTGTTGATCAAACCTTTAGGTCAAATGGCTCCGGATGTGGTCCCCTAAGAAAACCGCCTGCTTCGGTCTGGGCACCCGGGTAGTATCACAACGCACACACAGATCAAGTGACTTGTGTGGCGCATATGTATTCGGTGCCCCTTTGTACCCATGTTTATGTGTTCAAATAAGCAAATAAACAACTGGTAATCGATGGATATGTGCCTAATCTGTGAATCTATACGGAAAAATTCAATCGAACAGAACGAAGTAAAGAAAACATACCAGCCAATCTGACTTCATTAAAAAGCTCACAGATCTTGTCGCCGTTGAAATGTAGGGAGTACTAGAGGTTTTAAATTCAGTGAAGTATTCAGAGCGTAATGTATGTCTCACTAAATTGTACGTGGATCATTTATTTGATATTTATTGTTGATTACATATATCTTTTTATAAAAAGTCTGCATTCAATGGTGTAACGCAAACTTCTGTACACTTATCTTCGCTTATTTGGGTGCACGTATGTCGAATGAGATTGAACAATTTCATTCCATAACATCAATCGAAACATTCAAACATCCTTTACAAACGAATCCAAATCCATCCCTTTGCACAAATCCATGGCTATATGGACTAAGTAGTTAATTGGATAACGCGTTGGATCTTTTAAACAAAAAGTAACAAATAAATAATATATTTATAATATCCCAATGAGTAGGAAGCGGAGAGGTGGTCAGTGCATGACATGGTGTCGTGGCATGAAAGAAAGCTGCAAAGGACTGGCTTGTGTTGGTCCTTCACGACTCCCTGGCTGGGGTCCGAGAGATGGTGCTACACAGTGGCTAGAGACGTTATCAGATATGGCTCAGAATAGAAGCCAGTGGCGATCCTGCTGTAACCTTCTTTTACTTTCTTCATAAAAAGTGGTTGTATCTTCCTTAACTGAAAGATTTCTTCTGATTGTACCTCTTCGTCATTACTCTCTCTTTCTTTTGCGTTCCTTAGTTTTTTTTTTCTTTTTTTTCTTTCTACTTCTCTTCGAATTCCCATTGTTTTGTGTGGCGCATATATATTGGCGCTCTCTTGTACCAATATTTATGTGTTCAAATAAATAAATAAAACAATGAGTAGAAAATTAGATTTTCTGACGTTTCGTGAGTTAGTGTAAGTCACTTCTTCAGAGAATAAATAACCAAATTAAAATTAATCCAAGTTTAAATAGTACGACGGAACAATAAGAATAATATTTGATCAATCAAAAAAGTAACAAGTTCAAATCCCGATTTAAACATAAACATGGGTACAGATTCATCTGGTTGATTAGTCCCTGATAGATTCCACTGCTAACCACTATCCAACTCTGCTTAAAATAGTGAACTACTTCCAATTTGTTATAAGAAAAGAAAGTATAGCTAGTGATGATTCACTTGTTTTAGTTAGTGTTTTTTTCCTCGTTCTATTTGAAAACGTCATAATTCAGCTGAGTCATCTTTATTTTTGTTTTTCTCTCGTTCAGTTATTTGTTTGCTTAAATAGTTGTGTTTTCGTTAAAGACAAATTTGTTTTGATAGTCTTCGTGAATGTTGTATGTTCATGTATGTGTCTATATATAGGAATAGTATCAATTTGACAGTCTTGTTGTCTTTCAGCTCATATTAACTTGGTTAGTAGTCCCGTTTGTTTGTTTATTCTACTACTATTCGTTCGGATTATTTTATGTATGGTAGATATTTTAAACTGTTAAAAGCATATATTAATAGTAACACGCAGTGAAAATCGTCTTTATTTAATCTACATTGATCCTTCAGTAGTTTTTTTGCTTGTTTTAAAATTTTTAGTTGATATTCGTTATGGATTAGTCTCAATTACGGTGCCAATGAACATCTATTCAGTACTATTTGGTTTCAATAGTACTCATACTGACATCAACCTGTGATGAATACACCCTCTCTCTCTTTCTCAAAATTAATTAAAATTTGTACAAAACCATTTCATTTAAATTATGTAAATTTTGTCAATTCTTTTCATTAGAAGTACAGTGTATTTACATAGTAATTAATGTAGTAAGGTACTCATAATAATGTCTAACTTATGTAACATGCTACAGATTAATATCCTAGAAATCAACCGTCTACATTATTATATAACTTGTCCAGTAACTGGAAAACTTGTTTGCCTAAAACTCTGACTCAATTTTCTGTTTGTGAACTATTGTGTATCTTGAATATTGAGTTATTGATTCTAAATGTCATAAAAAAGATTGGTATCTCCACAACTTGTGTTCATTGATGTGTACACTTTCTTTGGGTGTATGTACCTACATCCTAGTATTGATTACTCATATTGAAAATTGAACACTACACTTATCGTTCCAAACTGCAGACGGTTATTCGCTAGGTTATTAAATCTATAATGGTCAACAATATAATCAACTTGGTTTTACATTCATTACCAGTTGTAAATATTTGTGTGAAATAGTACTCTCCTGTTTAGTGCATATCGATAATATTTATTTCAAACGTTCTCTTGCATTCAGGTTTCAAGTACGTATCCAGTCACAGCTTTCTGTGTGAAAGTATTCATACTTGTGATGCGAAGGAATGTGAATTTAATATTTTCGTTCCTTTTAAGTCATTTCTTATCCGATAAGTCATAATGTCTTGTTTAGAAAATTTGCAACAATACATTCAGGTATCTGTCTGATAGTTTCACATGCTTTTTATTCAGTCGAAGTCTGGAAATAAATTCCGAGAGTTTATGATTACATGTAGTAGGTTCCATTTATGAATTTAAATAAATTGTTATTCGCTAAATTGATTATTCATACCCTCCCCGGTGTTTAGATGTAACCAACTGAAATGTTTCTGACATGAAGTTTCATAGATGAACATTGGAATGTTTTAAAATTTAACCTTGTCGTTCCACCATGTGCTGTTTAAAATAAACACTCTTTATTGTCTGCCATCACCATTTTCTCTAATCATTGTTTATGAACGAATAAAGACGATTTGTTGTTTTAAAAGCTTTGGAATTGTCTAAAAAATTTCACGTTGTTTCTTTGTTTGTAACTCTTAATATTTATGTAACGATTAATTTGTGATATAGTTATTTCACACACCTTGATATATATATATGCCTTCTCAACTTTTCTATGCGTTTAAAATTCTAGCTGATAGATTGGCAGTTCACATTACCACGAATATCTAATACTAAAAGTCAAATAGTCCAACACGATCAACAATCCTCTACAACAGCAATTCAAGTTAATGAGATGAAATTTTTGAAAACAGATTTCATGTTAATGTTTGTCAAATATATCATGAAAATTTCACCAAATTTATTAAACTGGACATCGGAGTTAAATCAATTGGATGTTGTGTCAAGAAGTAAATTTTTATAAGGTTTTATAAATGTTTTAAATATTTTTTGTTTATAATTTGCTATATTGGCGTAGATTCAAATAGCCAACTTACCGTTTTTTAACTTACATCATTTGTGACATAGAAATGTCGATCTACCAACGGGTGGGAAGTATGATATGCTCGTGACATACCTGAACTCTAAATACTTTATCATGAATGTTTTGGAAACACTTTTCGCGTTTAGTAGAATGACCGAGTAAACAATGGTAAGGTTCGGGGTATGTTGTTCGGGTAAAGTTGACTGTGAATCTTCATTGATTGTTGGAAGAAAACTTGGGGCGACTAAATCAAAACGTATTATCACTCAGTGACACCATTGACTTTCAATCTGGACCATGTTGATAGTTTCAGACTATCCGGTTAGGAGCTCGTATGATAACCTCGATCAGTGCTTTTAGAAGTTGAATGACGTAGCTTTTAAGTTCCAGTATATCTTCGTACATGCCTTTCCAATCTATCTTTTGGAACAATATCCCCATTGCTTAGTTATTCTCATCCCCACTACCACTACATTGTTTTGAATTCTTCGATGCTTGTCTTACCAATTTCATCCAATTGTGCTGATATGGCATAAAAACGAAGGTTAACACATATTTGTACTTGGCTCTAAGTTGATTATCACAAATGGTTGAAGCCAATCGATAAAATAACCTAAATCTCAGTTTTATCGTAGTTACCAGCCTGTATATAAATACAGATCCATGTAATTACATACTGATCAGTAACTTCACATGTTCTTGTTCTCTAACCAGCATGTTACACTTTTGTGGCCCTAGATCTGATTCCAGTTAAATCGGACGAATGATTGGTGTCGAAATACACATATAGTCTATCCTCGTATAAAATCATCGACTTAAATCGCGTTAGTGAATAACGGAATTAAATAAGTCAAATACGAGAATGAATTTCGAATACGTACACATTGATCTGGACAGACGATCAGAGAGACGAAGCAAAGCCAAATGATGCACAGTGGAGAAGGCGTGTAAGCCAACTCCCTCTAATCAAGTGTTAATCAATATTTATAGCCAGACGGACATGTGGTGAATGAGATAAGGAGTGCACATACACACATATATAAAAACAGTCGAGGTTGATAAGCGAATAATCAACATGGTAAAAATATGACTCAAGTATAATGGATAAATTGGTTTGTTCAGAAGCTAGACAAGGTATATAGGCTTAACATAGCAACCGACACTACAGCACTTCTGGGATGTCAAGCCTAATAACACTAGTTAAGCTGTATTGTTGTTATGGTAGTTAAATAATAAAGCTATAGTGTAGTGGTTAAAATGCTGTGGTTTGCAAATACTGGGTTGCTAGTGCGGATCTCCATTTGGGTACCCGAATAGTAATCATTGCCACTCTTCAAACAACTAAATTGTGGCTCAAATTTAGTTAAATTAAAAATCCTGTGCTTCATCCGTTTTCCTTCCGCATGTAAGAATCATTTGGTTGTTAAATATAATAGATAGCAATAGGTTTTACAAAGTTAAGCAAAGTTAACCGCTCTCGTTGATAACAATTAACTGTCTAATAAAATGCAGTACATTTCCTCAATTCATCATAGTGATCAACTACTGCTTAATTGGTATTATTAAATTCTAATTAAGTTCATGTTACACTAATTATTTTCTATTGTTTGATTTTTCCTCTAGTTTCAATATCTGATTTATTCAAACGTATCGAATATGTCAAATCAAATTTAACATTTTTAATTCATTATTCTAAAACTACTGAATTTGCGAATAGTAATAATTATACTAATAACAATCATAATGATAATAATAAGGATAACAAAATGACAAGCCAAGGTAATTTGTCATTAGAAAATGTAGCATTGATTATTCGTTTACTTGAATTGTTAACAAAAACATCAGAAACAGTAAGTTGCATTTTACATTCAACTGCTTATTGGATCAAGAGATTTCAACCGTCATTATCTACATCACCAAGTTGTAATATGATGTTATCGGATGATTGGTTAAATCCACTTGTCAGATTTGCATTTTCATTCAAGGTGTGTGTATATATGTATTTTAATTGTAAAGTAGTTCCCTTTTTTAGAATTAGGACAAGACTGATTTTAACCTAGTTTACAATATGAATTGATATCTATTAGACAACTTTAAAGACTTAGGTGGCAATATATTACTTACGCCTGTTACTCCTCGTGGAGGAGCATAGACCGCCCACCAGCAGTTTCCATCCAACCCTGTCCTGGGCAATCCTTTTTATATCTGCTTCTATTTCCCGATGTAATGTGTTCTTTGGCCTTCCTCGTTTCCGCTTCCCATCAGGATTCCAAGTTGGGGTTTGCCTCGTGATGCAGTTTAGTGATTGCCTCAATGTATGTCCTATCCACTTCCAACGTATTTTCCTGATTTCCTCTTCAGCTGGAAGCTGGTTTGTCCTTCCACAGAAGGCTGTTACTGATGGTATCCGGCCAATAGATGTCGAGTATCTTGCGTGGACAACTATTTATAAATACTTGTACCTTCTTGATGATGGTTGTAGTAGTTCTTCACGTTTCAGCTCCGTACAATAGGACTGTCTTGACGTTCGTACTGAAGATTCTGACTTCGATATTGGTTGGCAGTTGTTCTGAGTTCCATATGTAGCGGTTAGCACTCTGAGCTTTGAATCCAGCGACCCGAGTTCGAGTCTCGGCGAGGCCTCCAAACTCCTCCTGTAGCCCTTCTAGTGTTACTGCCGGTACCATGCCCAGATAATTGAGGAGGGTTAGGTATTGGGTCGACAACCCCATCCTGTAGAAAAGAGAACCTTGCTAAAAAAACGCCAACCAGGTTAAACATATTAAACCATTTAAACTCTGCCCTGGAAGTTGAAGGAAGAATTATGACGCCTCAGGACGGAAGCCGACATTCTTCGGAAGTCACGAGGCCGATGACCTCTCTAACAACCGACGCAACAATTTTTATAGGTACATAGAATTTTTATACTCTATTTTGAGGTTACTTAATAATACTTGTCCCACGGATTAAACCTAATACTTCTAGGTTCCATCTCACTTTTCTAGTTGTTGAAATTGTTGTCTTGTAAAGAGCGCAATTAGAAATATGTTTTTATGGTAATTTAGTCATCAGATATATTATGGTCTTGTGTACTGCATTTAAGTAGATTGCAGTTGTGTATCTTTTTTCATCATTTTATGGACGGTTAACTAATCATATTTTGTAAAGCTAATCGACTTCTAACTAATTAATTAACTGCATGTTTTTTTGTGAATAACTTGATATAAACATGTTATGTTATCCGTTCATAACTAATCAGTGCCTGTAAAAGTTTTCATCAATTTATGTAATTGTGACACCTACTAACTTTCAAGATACTGTAACTAAATAACTGATAGTACACATTAAATTCCTTGAAAGAAATTGCGATGAAAGTGAAAGAAAAAACTGGCCAGGCATCTCTGGCTCTAGACTTCGTACCAGTTAAAACTAGATAACCGTAACTGTTTTTAAATATTTGAAGAAAATAACGCTCCATGTGTTCGAATTTATCACCATTCAGTATCTCGTACAGAGAGACATTGACAATGAACTATTTGATCGACACGATCCTATAAGTTTGAGGCGTCATTTTTATCTTTGGGCTAATTGAATTCTGTTGACTAAGTTACGATTTGGTCAGTGGTGTAAATGACTCGTCATCACGTCCACTATATTTAAATGTTACTGCTAATCGACAGGATTAAGTCCACACCATTGTCTAAATAAATATGATCGATCGGTATAAAGATAAAATGTTTTGTAAAAACAATTGTTTCTTTATTTTTATGACTTGTTACCCGTTTATCAATTTGTAACGTTACACGAATCAATACAGAAAACTGTTAATCTCATAAATTATCCCCTTATTTATTGAATATCACAATCATATATGTAAGATTATTTCTTTTAGTGCTAATAATAAAGGGATCCACTTTGAAATTAGTCATTTGTTATGTTCTATTGCTTAGGTTAGAAGATAGCTGATTTGATATTATTTCTGGTAATTTGTAATTTGTACAACAAATTCCTTAATTTGTAGATTGGAAATAATTTCCACTTGTCTTTAATCAATAATTCCCTTACTTTAGTACTGAAAAATTAATCATTCTGATAGTGATTAAATACTTATTTAAGTATATATTTTCTGCGATTGACTCTGAATACTTTTCTATCCTTAAAAAAAAATAAAAAAGTTACAAGTAATAGTCGAATAACTAAATGCAGCTACTGTATCAATCCATGAATTCGTCTACAATCGTATTATATGTACATAATCAGTCAGTTATGATCAACACAGAGCCTGGGAAAAATACACGTTGGTCCAAATCGCCATGTCATATTAGCACAACAAGATGAATAAAAAAGAAGTCAAAACAACTGTAGTGTTAGTGATAGCGGGAAAGATTAAATACTACAGAGTGCAGTTCTAAAAGATAGAATGAATTCGAGAAATAAAAAGTTCGAAGATTGAAACTCATTAAAAAGAATTAAGACAATTCAGCAAAGAAAATTTTCTATTCGATAATATCATTTGCAATGGTCGTTTTGAGTTGAGTAAATTATTTGTTTGATATTCCTCGAAAACAGTTATCCATCCAGGCTTATTCAGTGTAACATAAAACCAAAATTATAATCTGTAAAACTTCATAGTTCTTAGGAAAACCCTCTTCATGAACATTAGGTTCAAGGCAGATACTGCTGCAAAACGTTTGGAGAATTATCTGACGAAATTCTTGAGCAAAAATTTGTATACCCCTAAGTTTTACAAACAGCATTGAGTTAAACGTAAAACATATTTCAAAGAAATACCGGGGTAAAAAATGTACAGAAATTAGTAAATACACTTCTGCTTATTAATTATCCTCTGAAGTCCTAGTATCATTTGTCAACAGTGATTAGGTGAAAATCAGTTAGTCTGCTAAATAATTAGGAATTTGTTCGAAGCCATCAATAATTCCCCAAAAATATCTTTAAAAGTCGGAAAAATGGTGGGCTTCAAACAATCAGGATTCTTGGGGAACTTTTGAATGAATTCTGTAAAAGGACGAATTATATTATCATGATCCGATCGAACGATTGCCCAATTCGTTTAACATGTTCTTCACAACCTTTTATATTCTTAAGGTCACATTTGATACTATAAAATACCCTTTTTGTCTGTAAACGAATTAACTTTTCGTTGAAGCTTCTCTTATCCTTCCTCCTTTTGTTTTCTGTTTGGAGCTTAAAAGTAGATTTATGTGGACTAGGAAGCGGTTAGGAATCCGATATCAAAACTTACAAGTACAAGACATACCAGAGATTTACTCTTCTAACAATTTTTCCATTGGTGTCATTTTTTAGTCACTTCAGTTCTCAAAATTATTAGAGATAGCTACTGTGTGCAAGTGTAATTGCAGAAACTGCACACCGACAAACTATGAGGTGCAAAATTAGATTTTCATAGTTTGCTTCAAATCTAAGAAGTAAATCAGTAATATCAAACAACTGATGCACACATCAAATTAATGTTATTAAAAACAATTTAAGAAGTCTTAATTGTATTCCGTAAGTTTATTTCATACACAGTCTAAGACATGTCACACTCTGTTTTTCCCTAATTTATAATCGACATCGTAAACCATAAAAATTCTGTGAGTTATTTAGAATTTAAAATCCCATTAGTTGCAATCGATTTGTCGAGACATATGGAAATATTTCTTTGAAGCAATTTTATGTTTTTATGCTTGTAATAGAAAGATTCATAGTTCATAAACAAATAAATAATATTGATACTGCTACTGATTTATTTTTAGAATTGTGTCAATGATCTCGATAAAAAGTCACCTCATTCACAAAATTCCTCATTAAATATACACGATACTCAATCTTCTAGTCATTCACATCATCGTCACAGTCAAAAACACTTGAAAGAACAAGAAAAGGTATTAAATTTAATTCTGTTTTCATTTTCCATTGGAAAAAGAATTCCACCTTTTTGTTGTTGTTTTTCTTTTACAAAAAGGTTACTATGGCACAATCAACTTCTGATATAATTGACAAATTTTATTTAAATACTTTTACTGACACTGAATGAATCGGTTGTTTCGTACAACCAATTTACAAGTTCTCCAACTGTGAATAAACTATGTAAAACAGGATTACTAGTTAATTAAATGAATTTACTATTAGAGCAGTGGAGAGATGATTTAGTGGTTCGACTTTTGGTCACTGAGTCGAAGGTTCGATCCCCGCCCTCCCCTACCTCCGGCACCCAAGCAGTATCAGTAACCTTCACTGTTAGACCGTGACTCGAGGCCATATTAAATAAGTTATTATCAGAATTAAACTGTCATAGATAGAAAAAAGTTTCAACCAAGATAATAAGACTCATCATGTAACCATTGAAACCAATCGAGAATGGAAATATGTAGGCTACAGAACAACCAATCAGGCCTCACTCCTAACATTTTTACTAATACTTTCATATAATATTCATTTACTCAGTGAAGGATTCTCGGCACGAAACACGCAATATTGCAGTAAATTCATTTTTAGTATACATTGTAGTTGTAAAGATTTAAAAATTATATTCTAGAGAAAATATTTACAATCATTATCAACCAGTTCTGTCTCTTTGACATGCTTTCATTGTCCAATATATTTGATAATAATTAATCAAGTCGATATTAAAAATATCAAATTAATACAATAAGGTTATCATAACTACAGAGAAACGTGAGTAGCTGAAGCTCTCCATACATTGCTAGATCTTACTGCCCTCAATATAAAAGTCCTTACAATCCATCCGACTTGGACCATCTGTCCGAGCTAACATATCTGATTCTATTCACATCTCACACTGTTATCATACATACTGATTCAACTCTATCCTTTTACATTACGAATTTCATGTTTTTCTTCCATTAACACACAAAAATACAATATATCTCACATGAATCACATTAACCGGAATGACATGTCATCGATTGAGAACTGCTTTTTTGATTGATCCTACTAAGTAATTTTGCTTGATACCTTTGTACTATTTAAAATTAGGTTAATTTAATTTGTTTACTTATTCTCTGAAGAGGTGGCTGACATGTAGTCACGAAACGTCGGAAAATGTTATTTTTCTACTCATCCAGATGGAACAAATATATTATTTTTAATAATAATAGTAGTACTCGTTTTATTCATTACTATGATCCATGTTACAGTAAGGAGTTTTCAACATCGGTTGTCCAACGTCGCAATAAATTTCTCATTAACATACATTTAAGTTGAAATTATTCGGAGAATTATGTTGTATAAATGACTTTTTCAATAGTTAGTATCTGCCGCTTATCTTTAGTCGTAAAGTCTTTCTATCAGTTCTCAGGTGCCAAAATTGTCTCCATACACTTCGTGAACTTAGAAGGTGCAAAACACATACCGAACCTACGGACACTAATTGCCAACTGAATGAGTGCAGATTGCATGTCTTTGGTATCATCACCCAGTAAGACAATATCATCCGCATACTGAAGGTCGAGAAGTCATTCTCCAGGCATTCGTTTAAGCGTTGCGGAATTCTAGAGATTGATTCTATTATGGCTTGCAGTATTCAAGATTGATACTGATACACAAATTTATGTGCGAGACCCGAGCGTCTACTGAGTGAGAAGACTAAGAGCGAAGGAGGAAGCTTACAGATCAAACTGAATCAAATGAATAAAAACTCATTTATGTGTGTACGTGTATATGTACTCCTTAGAATGTAAAACTATTTCTTGACCAATGACTTGCACTTATCAATAGGAGAACTTCAATTGGCTCAATATGAACTCCTCATTCTGTGGATTGCGATTGGTCCATTTTCTCAGGTTTAGTAGTGTCAATATTATTAACGCTTGGTAACATCTAAATGATTTTTGATATAAAAGCGTTTTATAAGGGAAAATGTGTAGCAACATCTCTGGCCAATAGAAGTTTAGAAAGGTTTTGTAAAAAGTCGATATCATACTTTATCATTTTTCATTCATTCCCTGTTGAACAAAGATCCCATCCTCGTCAAAACGTGAAAATCGTCATCGTAAGCCACGTACTCGTCAACTGGATACAGACGGTCTAATGGATGATATATTACACAGTAAGTTCCCAAGAGCATTTTAGATTGCATTTAAAGTTTTTACTGTAAACAATACAAAACGAATTTGTGATTGTTTTGATCATGCACTATACATCACAAAGTGATAATGGGTGGGACATACAATTTATCTTTCCTTATAAATATATTATTAGAGTGCTATACGTAATAATAATTGACCCAGCAGTCTATGCTGAGCTATAATCTAAGCAGCTACAATTTAGTCTTCGGTAATTTATCTATTTCGAATACTGTTGGGGGTTACAACAAAATGAATAAGTGGTGAGTAACAGTCAAAATGATAAAATATAACAGTGTTCATCAATTAAATAGTCAAATAACGATATATTACACCAAAATCATAGTAACTGTTAAAAGTAATACATGATTTAGCAGTAAACATGCCCATTAGGAATGTAATTATAACACAGTCCGGCCACTGAATAAGAATGTATGGTTCAGAATCCCAACTTTAGTCTACGGGAGTTGTGATTCAGTCTTCGACCCTCGTCGTTAATGAATTACTGTCCCACTTCTGAATTGGTTTTGTCCCATAGTTCATTGCTTTCCATCAAACTCCAACAAAACCACCTCGAAACCAATCACTACCGGTCATACGATTATCATTTACCAAAGTATCTTGTATAGAGATTCATATAATTTTAGGATATCCTTTTGTTATGATTAAGTTGGATTGAAATCTTGATTCACTAATCAGAATTCAAATCATTACTTCTCACTGACTAACGTTCTGTGCTTTGAATGACAGCGAATTATCTTGAGCTGTGGCCGAGATAGTCGTCGATGTGGCTTTCTCTCCTTACCCCCTCATATTTATTCCGATAAGAGAACACAACAAATCGATAAGATCTCTATTGTATGATTATCATTACGACTCAGACCTCACAATAATATAAAATAAATTCCTGACAATGTAAACATAAATGGAGAAAATACAATGTGTTCATGACCACGCCATAAGTGAAATATACACTGAGTGAGGTGTCCGTTATTAACTAAAAACAACTTAGGAAAAGTAAAACACAACAATAGTTTATGAACCAGATGAAAAGGTTACAAACAGGAGGATATAAGAATGCTATAATCCGTGTCAAATAGTTATATAATGGAAATATTATCAATAGTTGCACGTAAGGTAATCACAAAAGTTACTATCGGATTCAAGTTCAACACAAGATCTGAATCTTCTCAGCTCAATCTCATGTATTATTATAAGTGTGCACTAGTGAGGGGTCCGAAAATGGGACCAAGTAACTCTGCGGTGCTCCAGTTGATATACCAGTTTGTGACGATGATCATCGTGCAAATCTCATAAAACATTTTTTTAAACTTGATTATTGTTAGCATGGAAAAGACGATACGACCATACTTTTCCAAAAAAATAGGTAATCATTCGGAATGATGTACATATATGCCTCCAGTATTAGATTACACAGTAATAGCTAGTATATATTCTTTATTCCTTATGAAACCACTACACTTGACAAAACAGTTACTACCGAATACCAGAAATTTGAGTGTGAAAGTTCTATATTTTCATAAAAACGATTGAATGGAATGAACAGCAAGACGAATATGAAATCACGAAAAGGCATATACCTACTTCGAGATTCAGACCGGCCTCATTCTGTAACGTATTCAGAGATACCACTTACTGGGTAATATAAAATATCACTCTCTTTATTCCTTAGTTCTAACTAAACTCTGTCGTCGAGTTAGCAGCAACGTCCCTAATTCTATTGCTTTGAAAAACGAGTCACAGGCAGTAAGTCTGAACTGTGGAATAGACCAAATAGTGTTGACTCCTGTTCAGAAAAATAAAGATGAACTACGTCCATATCTAAGTATCGCTGTGGCTAAGTCGCTAAAGCAGTAAGCTTTTAATTATCCGATCAAATGATTAAACCTCGTCACGCCTTCTTTGGTTTCGAAAGCCGAGTAGTCGTGTTACGCGATAAACGTGTGATCCAGAGATGATTGCAAAAGACTGTACTTAGTCACATGAGTTGTTAGTTTAATAATACATTGTTTGAAGTGCAGTGGTATATCATGTTCCATAATTAAGTAATCACTACCTTACCGAGAAATAGTTTTATGGAATTTAGTTGACACTGAGGTTTATATATCAGGAAATTCAGTCAGCTACAACGCAGGACCAGGCACATATATACATCGGTCCAAGATGCCACACCTCATTAGTACAAGATGAACACCGAATTCATAGTAGTTAATTCAATGGTGGTAATATATTAAAGAAAAACATTAATTATTCTAAAATCAACCTACTTAGCATTTCTAGTTATTATGTCATAACTCTGTCTTTCTCTTCCTTAGATCTCACTTTGAATCCTCTAAGAGCAGATATACATGTGAAACGATCAGACAAGATTGATTAGATCAATGCTACTTCTTTCCCCTTCAATGACACCATATAGTTTTCATGATAATAATACACGAACTAGTGCTGTTTTGCAAGTCTTCCTACAAATATACATTCCTGTGAATGGAAAGCTTTATCCCTTCGTTTTCCTTTCATTTAAGGCGTTTCATCTTACCGTTTATCTAATCTGCTTTGTTTTCCTTGATATTTGTACAAATTATTTTAATGCTACGTATTACCACTTAGTTATATATATGCCTTTTAGCAGATAGTTATTTTATAAAGTACCTTGACCTCTGTGGTGCGTTGTCCTTTTGAACGTAATTATTTAAACTTATGAAAATTTATATCTCAATTTTTATTCTTGCAGCATTTCTTTCGATTTATTCGCGAAAACTTCATGTCTGTCCCGATTGTACTGTTTTAAGCTATTGAATGCTCCTCCTGAATATGTGTGTATACAGGTACTTAACCCTCTATATATCGAGTGCATAATATCGTATAAATATGCCTCATCAGTGTCATTATTGTTTGCTTGTTGAATACTGTAAACAGATTAATTTACTTTTCATTTTATCACCTTAACCTTTATTCCTTTTACATCAATAAATAAAGCATCGTATCCTTGTCAGCAGTTATGTTGCAAATTTCCTTTTTATTGTGGTTGGTTAGTTTTCATTGACATAGATATTTGAGACTAGTTTGAATTACCAACTTCTTTTGCAACCAGGTTGATAGATAAGTTTGAACAATTAGAAATGATTTGGGATATTATTCAGTTTTTGAATAAAAATCAGACACTAGACGTAACTACCAGTTATTTCGTATAGACGGAGTGAACCTTAGTGAGCGTGGAGTTTTGGTAGAACCACCCAGAACTAGAAGTCAGTAAAAAACACTGGATTTTACACTAATTATTCTTCTCTACGACTAAGCAATTATTTGACATAAAAATCTTAAGTTTATCTCCAGTCTTATCGTTAAGGATAGAAGGTCACTAATTAACTTCGGGAATTCAGCGAGGTACGCACTAGTCAGTACATAGTTCAATCGTGAAATGTTTGTTGCAACTCCAATAGTTGGACTTATTGTTGGTCCTCGGGAGATAAGTATACTACTCAAACATGCTGAAAATATGACACCTTAGCAGCACCATGAGGCTCTTGTTAAGAATCCATTGGAATATTCTGAATTATGGCACTTTCAGAGCCCTAATTGCTTCACCACTCAAAAGCAGATCCGCAAGGTTTTTACATAATACAAATCATCCCAAATGAATCGAAATGTCATAAAACAAGTTATCCTTGTAAGCAAAAATGCTACTGAAAGTCAAACAGAAAAGGACCTAGATGTGTAAGTAGACAAAATAAGGATGTGTAGTGGTTTTCTTCACGGATTGATATTAGCAGAGACACAATTGAGAAACGGCGGGACAAGTGTTTCTTACTTGTGTGGGTTCTTAGTGAAGGGGACACATGACTATCGAAGGACTGAACTCAAATTTTTCAGGCCCCGAAGGGAGCGCTTAAACTTCAGAAAACTGGCTATTTCCAACTTGGATTAATTCTTAATATTACGTGTTAGATAGGTTTTGTTGGTGTTCTAAGGAGTGAGATACTAGGAATAGAGGTTCTGGGGGATTGAAATCAACTTACTGTGTGCGGTCTAGAAATTCGAAATGGCGATGCAATGAAAAGCCTTTTCTGACTAATACTAATCGAATTACTGGAGAATACTTCATTTCCCAATATTTGATATAGTGTGATGGTCATCCGACATTGTAATAACCGTACAAAGATGTTTTTTATGAGGTCTAATGATGGTGTTTGATCTTCGGTCGCGGAGTTTTGCCGTGCATCTTACTTTCAAATCGAGATATCATTTCATTGAAAGAAACAGTAATTCAACATATGAGGCACACCCATCATCCGTTAATAAAATGTATTTCGATAGCAGTATCATATGTCTGTCTACTGAACTTAAATACCATATCCATCGGCAAATAAGAGGTGTACAGTAATAACTGGAATTAATCTAGAGCGGGGAATATTCAAATAAAAGTTAGAACGATACGTTTAACTAAAACCACATAAATAACTGGCCAACATATAAAAAGAAATCAGTATCATGATTCACAATTGATTGATCACTGGGTAGTGATCAATGTAATGCTTGTCTAGTCCTTATTAGTGCAGATCGAATGCTATCGATCATGTTGCAATGTGGCCACCAGTCTAGGTGACTCGACACTGCGGGCACTATGTATTGAGATTAAGATGGTAGTTGGAGGTAGTCAACAGGAAACCCTGGACCCGGGTTTCGATAGCATTCGATCTGCACTAATAAGGACTAGACAAGCATGACATTGATCACCACCCAGTGATCAATCAATTGTGATTACATCTCAGTCCTACAGGAGGTTAGTCACGGCTCGGATAGCTCAGTGGTAACGTCTCTGACTGTGAATCTGGGTGACACGAGATCGAATCCGCCAGGGAGCACCAGTTCCCTCAAGATTACAGGTACACCTTGCTGACGAGTGCCAAGTAGCACGAAACCCGGGTCCAGGGTTTCCTGTTGACTACCTCCAACTACCATCTGTATCATGATTCATTCATATTCTCTTATCAATTATTTATATATTCCAGTTTGAATGAAACTGTACATTTCAGTTATGGTGTACATACATGTATAATCATATGAACAAATAGAAATCAGGTTAGCGAAAAACAAAGATATTAGTTTGACAAAACGAATTGTCCAATTCTTTTTCTTAATGTGTATCACAAAACTCATTCTTGATGATTTTATCTCAATTAGAAATCAAATGGAAAACAGAAGAATATAACACAAGTGCACATAAATTAAAGTTGAGTAAAGGAACTACAGTAGATTTTCATATCATTGATTGTTTTGATGTTTATGACTGTAGGGCGCTCAGATCTGCTCGATAAAAATGATAATTACTGGTGCTGCTATTATCACCACCACTGCTACTACCATTATTGTTGCTTCCGGATGGATGATAAGAGGTACAATCATAATACGGCCTAAAACATTCATCAGGATCAAAAATTGCTGATCGACAAGAGTTTATGTCAGATCCTACCGACGGATAAGTAGATACTAGAATAGGATTAATATGGTTTTTTGACGACCCGGTTAGCTCGTAACTAGAATTCGATGTACAAAACTCAGCTGAATAATTGGTCATTTGATTAGTCAGTAAAGAATTACTATTCCTACAACTGACGTTCAGATTATGAGAGAATGGATTTTGTGCAGTACTCAACGGCTCATTACGATACAAATTATCATGCTTATTGACAAGAAGTAAGTGCTTGGGTTCGCCATAGGAAGTGGATTGTTTCAACCAGTAAGAATCTCTTGGTTGTGCAGCTGGTATGTTATAACCAGGAATGCGACTTAATGTCTGCTGCTTAATATCGAGTGACACGTCATCACGACTCCAATATTGTTTCTCTTGAGCACCGTTATAGATAGAAGATGGGGTATCACCTGAATATATTTTATCACACGAGGTATAACTTGTTTGTGTTCTCATTTGGTGCTTGCTTTGAAGAACATTATTATCTCCATTCCATATTTCCCACAAGCAATCATCAAGTATGCGTGGTTCACAATTTAAACTTGGTTCTGTATATGTCGGTGGTGGAAATATCGGTTCTTTGGAATTACACACAGAAGGATCATCATTAGTCGCCGGTGTACCGAAATTATTCCATGTTTCTTCAGGCAAACATTGGTTCACAAAGTTTTTTTGCCTGTATAATGAATGGTGATGTATGGCGTTTAATTGCTCGACAGTTGACTGCATAGCATATGACTTGGCAGAAAAACGTGCAGATTTCGCTAACTGAAAAATGAACAAAAAATTTTGAGATGATTTACCTGTGGATGTGTTGTCCGAGGTTTTGTAATCCTTTTAGTTCTTTTCACACTTTTATCTGGACCCTTTAAATGAGCCATCAAAGATTTCATCAATTCATTGTTTTGACTGATATAGTTACTAACAGCCTCACAATGTCGAATCGATGCAAGTTTATGATGAGATTGAAGATTTGATATACGTTGTTGGAAACGATAAACCTGTGCTGAAGCCATGTAAGCTTTGGAATATTCAAAATAGATTAACCAAATTAACAGTTTTAGAAGTCTGGAAATTCAGAGAATAAAAATTTCAGACAAGTCATTATGTTATAAAGAACATGAGATTTAATATGTGAAACTTACTGCTGTAGTAATGAACATACACTTCAAGTTACATGAACCAAATCTACACAGATCCGTATAATATTTAATAATTGATTACAGAATTGTTTTTAATGCTGAAAACTCTGAGCTCAACTACAACACATTCAAAACATTGGTTAATTCATTGAAATGTCGAACAAGAAAAAAGCCTAATTGGGAGGTCTGAAGTTTTTGGACAAGTAAGATTCATACTTTGAATCGCTTATAATTCCACTGACTTTTAACTGTCTTTTTTTTCATGTATAGTGTATTGTATACATGCACGTTAGTTTACCTAAAACAAAAAAATTATTGGAATGGCTAGTGACTACGTCTTCGATGTTGATTCATTCAATAGTTTGTGTTAATCTGGTCATGTGAGTAGTAATCCTTCTGCCATATTTACCGCATCTTGTCTGTCGATTAATATTTCATCCATTTATTTTAAGTCAAATTATAACCCAAATCAATCACTTAATTTATCAATAATTAATTAATGGTATCAGTATCATGATCAGTCAAGTGTGAGTATATTTATAAGCATTTCTCTGAAAGTTGTTGCTCCAGGACTGGGCTGCGTCAACACTTGAACTAAGGACATGTAGTACAGTAGTCGAACGCGTCGACAACTTCACTTATCTTGGAAGTCTGATCAACCCTAATGGGTTGGTGTCTGACGAAATCCCTGCACGGATTCAAAAAGCTCGTTTGGCTTTCGCCACCTTATGTCACATAGCGTACGCGAGACATCCGTCTATCAATGAGGGGACGAGTAAACTACGCAGTATTTCGTTCTGTCCTAATTTACGGCTGCGAAACATGGCCATTAAGAGTTTAAGATATTCGTAAGCTACTAGTATTTAACCACAGATGCCTTAGAAATACTGCTCGCATCTGCTGGGATCATTGGGTAAGTGTTATAGTCTCTCTTTCTTCTTACGGTTAATGACCCAGCTATTCCTATTGCTTAGTATTCTCGGACACCGATCCACTCGACAAGTCCCCAAATCAGAACACGGTTGAACAGGAAAAAGATTATATTCCAAATAGCAAGTCAGAAGCACAATAGGGGAAAACGTCGGTATATTTATAGTTTTTACATAAGAAGATTCCAGAGTATTCTCCGACTATCGACTAGTGCTGATTGGATAAGAATCAGCCAATCAGCGTGCACCAAAACAATCATGCATTGAGCATGCTTTAATCTAGTCTATGTCCCGCTAACAGTAAGTAAAAGTGAGATTAGACGCAGGGTATTAGGGAATGATGGTGAGTCAGTTGATGGGGTTGCAAATCTTTATCAATTGAGATGGTTGAGTCACGTGCCACGTATCTCCGAACACCGACTACCTCACGCGCAATGCTGCGACTAATGCTGGGTATGGTTGGAAGAAAGTTAGGGGTGGCCAAACCAAAACGTTTTATCAGTCCTTGAAGTTGCTAACTTATAGTCTTAGCCATATTGGTGAATGCAGACTACTTGGTTGGGGTCCGCTTAACTATCGTAATCAATGGTTGGAGACTCTGGGTGACATGGCTCAGGATCGATCACAATGGCGTCGGTGTATACACTCTCTGTCTTCCCTTAAACTAAGAGATTAAAATCGCTTCATATCTTTCTTTCTACGAACTAATTCTTTCTTCCTGTACCATATCCTTATCGCAGTCTTCCTTTTATATATTACCACCTCTGAATTAACTACTTTTATGAATCCGGTGTCTATCTTGTTGTGTTGATGAGGTATGGTAACTTGGAACGATGCATATATGTGCCTGGTCTTACGTTGTAGCTGACTGACTGACCAGCCAGAATTGTGTCGAGGAGTGTGGTGGCTAAGTTTATGTGGTATATCTATTTAACGCGTTCTTGTACCAATGTATTTAAATAAAATTAAATATGTGCCTGGTCCTACGTTGTAGCTGACTGAAATGGTCACTGATAGTATACAGTCAAATGAATGTACAGTCGATAATAATTTATGGTACTTTGATTTGACCATTACTATCAGTGACTATTTCAATGACCTAGTTAATGGACCAGTCGAACCCTATCACTTTTCTTTGAGTACTTTATAGTAGTGAGTGAGAATGTGAATCAATCTTTAGAACAAAGTTTACAGCAGACCTCATCAGGTAGATTTTTTCATATTCAAAGTTGGTGAACAACCAAGCAAAAAGCAATATCCCTCCAGATATAGCAACACACGCTAATGATTCCGCTAGAAACCTGAATTCGAAACACTAATTAATATAAAAATCAGGAGTGTAAACTGCGAAGTGATTTTCATTTACTCAGGATATAAATACTAAAGAACATATGAAGCCGTAAGTTGGAGGCAGGCGTCAGGAGCGCGAACGGCATTTGATAACAACAGGAAAGAATGGTCCGGGACATAGTTGGGCGGAGATCCTTGGTAGGAGGCTTTTGGCCCGTGAGGTGTAGCATGAAATAGTAAAGATTAACAATCACACCACAATCATGGTAAGGGAATGGATATCTAACTGTTATCCTACAGGAGCTACAACTGATGAAATGTCTAACAGAAAAAAACCCAATCCTACATGTTTTGAAAGGTGGATTTATTATTCAGTTTTTAACAGGTTAAAAAATAAACTACAGAGAGCAAGACATAAGTTACATAAAAGCGAGTCAAAGAACTATACAATTGCATGCGTGATGCTTTTTCATACGTTTCTTAGTACATACCCTGGATTTGATTCTACTTGGTCATTTTATTTAAATATTCCTAACAGGTAACTGTATTCAGCATAACATGACTTCCATATGAGTTGCAAGTTTAAAAAAGATATTTTTACTGTTATATTCATTTTCCTGCCAATATTTAGACGTGACTAACAAGCTTATTTACGTCCACCTGAGTACAAATAAACTTGGGCCACTCATGATACACTCTAAACCATTTTGTAGGAGCAGATGCAAGACTTAAAATAACATAGAATGTTCCACAACTTTGTGGTTTTTATGAGTTAAAGTCTATTCGAACTAGACTGCTTCCGCTTACCTATCATATAATTGGTCCCCTGAAACTACTGACCGAGTAAAACAAGCCGGACTTCTCAGTATGAATCTAATACCACCGAGAACCGATACATAGACATTGTTAGCGAGTAGTCTGTCGGTCTAAAAAACTTGGCAGTTCGTACACTGTCTAGCCTGAAAGCACTTTAGATGTTAAGGAAGTGTTATTGATGAGAGCTGGAAAAGCTATTAGATATGAACCGGCAGCTTAGTAAGCACATTGGATGCACTTACGTTTAATAATAAAGGCAGTCGAAAACAAACAGTGATAGTTACCAACTAAGAGAACTGCATATCCGCAATGACAAAACCCAACATGAGATCTCGAATCCGTTACACATTATAACTCAAAAAGACCGCGTTTCCTTATCCAACATCTTTGTCACAAGTTTGTATAAATCGATTGCTCTCTTTGTCTTCCCTTCTTGATTCTACAGTACGGTCACATTTTTTGGAGTCGTCTAATGTGGTTAGTGTAGTCATTCTGTTGTACTAATGCAAACTGATTTGATAGCAAAATACTAGTGGCATACAGGTTTTTCACACCGAGTCATCAATTCTCGGAACCTGTTACCCGAAGCAGTGGTGTCCGCACCTTCGATTAACTCATGCAATAGAAGACTAGACACTTACAGAAGCATACTAGAAACGGAATAACATAAGCCGTGAGACTTCTACCTTTACTACACAAATCTGAATCTTAATTGAGGTTTAATTTTTTGTCTAAATTAGTGCCTTTGTTTTAGGGTGACGTAGTTGTTAAGACCAGTAGCCATCACATTATGGAACGAAGTATTGGTCGGTTGCATTATGAGAAATTATAAAACTAAATTTTAGGATCCAGTGGAGCAAAGATAAGCTAACAGACGGAATGAGTAAATGAATAGTTCAAACAAATAGTGAGAACAGGAAAACGTCTAGTGGTAACAAAAATATTGGATGATGTTAGTAGGGATGGGTTAGTAATAATAACAGAAGCTACGGCGATGTTACGAGATATGCATCAGATACAGTAGTTCCATACTGCTATCAATCAACCAGTCATTTACAACGAAGAACCTGGGACGTATGAACATTCGTTCATATTCCCATACCCTATTAGCACAGAAAGGTAAAATTCTCAAACCAAATCTTAGAATAGTAGAGGAAGTGACAGTATGAGTGGTTAGAGAATAAACTAGAGACCGTAGATACATTTCGAGAAAATACCAATTGGGGAAATAAGCAGTTCATAATTTGGGAGAAGAAAAGGTTAGATTCGTGTTAGGATAGTCGGAAAAACATACCAGTAATTATCGTGTTAAGTCTATGGTGGCCTTGGACCTTAAATGTACATTTCTTATTGGTGGATGTTTATTTCACTTGTTAAATATTTTGTAAATGTTGTTTCCTATTTTATGATACGATGTGGTTTGTTTGTTTGGTATATAAATAGAGTATGTCTGAAATACAGTGATTCATAACTCAGAGGCTGTGACTTGTGTTCTTGACTCAACTGGCTAAGACAGACAGCGAAGTAGGGCCAATCAGGGCACTAGGTCGTCCACTACTTGTTTGCGTGTCCACTGTTACAGAAGCGATCGATAAATACGCTGTTTATCAAAACCTGCAGTCTCACACGTCACAACAATTCGCCTGCACCAGTGCAAACGATTTTGATCCATGTCATTCGAAGTCTCTAACCACTGGTTACGATAATCATTCAAACCCAACCAGGTAGTTTGCACTTATTAATATAGTTCATTTCAGTTGTCATTGACTTCATGGACTGTTAACATGTTTTGGGTTGGCTACCCTTAGCTTTCCTTCGGCCCGCTCCTGCACTAGAAAATATCGCTCTCTGGGGTAGGTAGTGGATGGACATACGTAACGCATGTCCTAATCACCTCATTTGATGAATTTTTTCCATCCTTACATCGTACTCCGCTTCTTATTCGGACACTGGTTACTCCCAAAACACACAAAAGATGCGTCGAAGACACTTTTGATCGAATACTAGTAATCTACGAATATCCTCTATTCTTAATGACTGTGTTTTACATTCACAAGGTAGAAAGAAGCGAACTGCTGGGCAGCAAACTTGAAGAATTATGTTCTAATATGGTATTATTACTGCTCTAATAATAGACCTAATCCTAAAATTATAGACTTATCATGATATAACTGCCTAATCTATAAGATCTTACGTGGAAGTCACATAGTCGCCTACACCAACTCACTGCATCGTAACAATTACCAATTCGTGATAGAGAACAATCTTAGGCTAGGGATGGAACAATATATTTAATATGAATACAAGATATAAGGCAACGATATATTTAATATGAATAAAAGATATAAGGTGACCACGCCTGCATAGCCGAGCCATGCCATACGATCAACTCCAATTAATTCAATTCCTTCTTCCCGCCCTCGTTATCGTTGAGTTTTTCTCCGTGTTAAATGTTGAATGTCCATTTCCCATATTGTCTCGTGTTAGGGCCCACTACCACTACAAATTCTCTCTTTGGTCAGTAGACGGATAATTCACCTACGTCACAAGTGACGCAAGCTGTCAAACACTAATCAAACCTTGTGAATCCTTGCTGAGATCTTGTCAGACACAAGGCATCAGGACGAGTGAGACTCCCAATATAGGTGAAGCGGTCAGTACGTTCAACCACTTTACTCCGTATCATTAATTCAGGGATGAAGTTAACCAATTTTGGAGCGATATTTTGCATTCGAAGTTAGAGAATCGCATCTTGAACATGTATGCGTTGTTACCTTAGATGGTCAGAAGACCAAATTTTGTCGGCATCAACTCTTGAAAGTCTTATCAGTAGAGGCATGTTTATGACAAAAATGAATAAAAATGGGAAAGCCGATAACGTTGACGAACACTACATGAAGTAACCAATTTTGATGACAGTTAATCATAAGTTGTGACACCATCATTAATGTTGGAGTAGAGAGCCTGTACAAGGTTAATGTACTTAGTTATTCCCTTCAATGGCAGACATTGCTACAGAACCTCACGATCAACAGAGTCGAACACTGCCTTCATTTCAAGTAATAAAACTATAATTGCACATCGGGAAGTATTTCAATGTTCCAGAACCTGTCAAAGGGTGAATATTTAGTCCCTTAACTTAATGCTGTTCATTAAGGCTGCTGTAGTAATATTGTATGTGAGAGCGTCTCATGTAGCGCTCACTCGCAGCAAAAACGAATGTGACCATATTTAGATATTAGCTTTTTGATGTGGAATTTATCGATAGGCGTAATGTAGAGGTACAGACAAGATATTTTTGTATGAGTGACCAGGAGAGATAAGTGTGTTGCACACCGTTATCAAGTACCCTTATATAACAAGAACTGGAGTAGGTCGTCTTGCGTTTTATCCTCTAATTCTCTGACCGATTTTATGAGTTATCAGTGTGGTGCTCTCCACGATTTACGTTGTCAAGGCGCGCGCTTTGCTAATGGGAAGTTAAGCTCTAACGTGATTTGCATTTCTCAAACTTACGCAACAAAGGTGCCATTTTTAATCCAAAGAATCCGCCCTGAGTTTTACGTTTGGTCAATTAATTTTCTTTTTGAGTTTCACCTAAGTTAATAGTTAACTGTGGTTTTGCCTCGGCTTACTTATCAATACGAAATAGGAACAATGTTGATGGTAAGTACCATTAGTTTAGTAAACCACACACAGTTATTTGAACTTTGGTCTCCTGATAACGACAGTGCATAGTTATGATCAAGATATTGCACGTATTTCTAGGAAAAATTACATGGACTATGTCTACAAAGTTTACGGTACTCCATTATTCGTTTATCTTTCTCAAATGGCTCTTATTTTTGTTGTTTCAGAAGTTTTGAATGGATGTTGCTTGAAGATAGCAGAATACCTTAAGCAGTATGACGACATACATTTTCATTGGCGTAACAAAAACAACGTAGTCCCAAATTATCAAACATGGCTTTAGGAATAGTTGGCGGTAGAAATGTTTATCTACGAGATGTTGCTGTTATAAGGTGCTTCACTAATACAAAATTTAAAAGCCAGCACCGTGTAAATAAGTGGTTTATTTAGGTATTCACAGTAATGAAATAAAATTCGCATCGCAAGAAATCGTAATTCGCAGACTTCAATTACAGAAATTAGCAAATGTCACCAAATAAAGTTGCGCTATTTTGTTGTATGACTTCTTCGTCGTGCATTTCCTCGAATTTCGTGCGAAATTTTCAGCATCTCTTAGATGTCGGCAAAGTAACTGGATACTTCTCTTTCTATTTCTGTTTAATACGTGTGCGGTGGCATTTATACTTACAACGTAACTGGCGCACAACATGCAGCTGTCTGTTAATAATATTATGTTTTTGTCAACGTTCACCATTACGTGAAATGTCTTAGAATTAAAAGTATAGCAGAGTAACTTTCGTGCATGCAGTGATGAGGATAAAAAACGCACTATTTACATTCTTGGAAGCTGTAATCACAGTATGACTGGGATGTACAAGTAATACAGTGATAATCAACAAAAATGTGTGATGATGATGTAAATTGTCGGTCCCAGTTTTCTCAGTAATTACTAATACAAACACCTACATTCATATTCTTGTCCTAATATTTACGATGACTCCTTGCACCACAGCAGCTTTAATCTCGTCGTTTGCTAAATTTATGACTGTCATGATGTTGTTATTATGTTTGATTCAAGGTTGGAAGGCTCTAGTTTGAAGATCAGGTAACCTTCTCCTGGAGTTATCGGTCGCCATGAATTTGGTTATGCAAGTGCATTTGTGTACGGTGTCGAAAGATGATATGCTGTGTTCTCAGTGATAAGACTGAGTTTGGAACAACAACATAAATATTAACACCTAAAGTATAATGGGGATTTTAATAACTAAACTTACACCTTGTTACGAATCCCAGCATACGAGTAAGAAGTGAGATCTTGAAAGTACGTTGGTGCACTACATAATGACAATTTAGTTCACCAAAACTATCAAGGTAGCAGGTTGAATTAACCATATGGCTGACATTGGATTCCATGAATGTTGATTATTTGGTTTTTATATCAATTATATAGGTTCATTAAACATCTATAAAAACTGCAGAGTGTAGCGTGGTGTCGATTTGGGATTGACTATGAACACCGCTACGAAGGATAGCGTGCCAAGTAAATCAGAAGGCGAGGGTTGAACGTAACAAAATAAATCCATAAAATCTCCGAGAAGCCAAATATCAGAAGGCAATTAATGGACCAAGTCG